GTTTTACTGTATCTACTTTGCCTGGCTGCACTAACTTATTTATGGCTGTACAGAAGGTACAGTGCACAGTTGACAAAAACAGTGTGCACATGGATGGGCTTCGGATTTTGGAAATGCAATAAAACCTTTCTTGTTCAAAGTAATACACCCGTAGACTGAGGAAATGGAAGAGGGAAAAGTCTGAAGAATTTCTTTGACTGTCACCACCGGAACTCGAGCCTAGGACCTTCGCTTGAGGCCAGCAATGCTCTAACCACTGAGCTATGGTGTAGCCGTCATCCCAAAGTAATATGAAAGTAATCTGATTCTCAGCTAACCATAGTGACATCAACAGTGACATCAACAGTGACATCCACTGATTGACGGCATGATTTTGCTCAACATGATTAAAGAGAGGGCAGCAATTATGATTACGGAATGCCCGATTTTTGGACGGATCTAAGTAAGTGCGAGGCATGGGTGGGAATCTTGATAGAGCATGGCTGGTTTCACAGCTGGCCTTGTACAAGACAAACTCAAGCATGGAACTTACCTGGTGAAACGCCGAGCACATCGTCCACTCCGCCATCTGCTGATGGCTCAGCACTACTATGAGCTGTGTGCCCGTCTTGCGTATCTTGTCCCACACCTTCTTGGGACTAAACTGCATGTTGGTGACAGTGATCGCCTCAGAGATGCTGTACGTGTTCGGACTTTCATACTGACGCAGCAGGGAAATCCCCTCGGCAAAAACCCCACCGCCTTCGATAATGATCGACATGTGGTGCCAGCTGAAGTTCTGGAGCACCGGCAGCAGACCCTGGATGTAGAGAGTGTTGGTCGGCGCGATGCGATACACCGATGAATACGTGGATCGATCGTTGAGTAGCGTGAGCTCCACGACGTAGTTGAGTGCCGACATGGCCATGTGCTGACCGAAGCTGGAGACGAGTAGGCTCGCCGAGTGGCACGTCGGTGCCAGAATGCCAGCACCGGCGTTATCCTGAAAGATGTCCGACACGGCCTGAGTCGCTCTGCCCAGCGTGCAGTTAGCGTCGAAGATGTTGTTGTGCAGGCGGATGTTGCTGTCAGCGAAGCTGTTGATCAGAAACAGCGAGAGGTATGACGCCCATTTCAGCTGCTCGCCGAACGGGTACTCGAGTCGGTTTGTGAGCGGCAGGAAGTTGTGAATCTCCATGGTCGCCAGCTCGGCGGAGTTGTTGAACGACGGCACGTGGTTGCCGGATCGTATGCACTCGCAGAACAGCTCTGCATTAGTCGCTTCTCCGTCGAAATTGGTCACAGCGTCCTGGCATTGTCCATAGAACATGCCCGAGTCCACCACTGCGCCGTCGTCATAGTAATGCACTGACACTGAAAGCCCAATCACAGTCAAACAGACCAGCACGGTGAAATACACAATATACTTCTGTATAATTCATAGACAACTAACTTCAAGCAATGCTGTAATACTTGTCTTTTTGCAGCGGACAGCCGCTCTGCTTCGTAGAGTTGTATAATGCGTGATAAGCAAACGCACATAGGAAAACGGGACATGAGTCCAAGGCAAACACAATCGGCGTGCACAGAATGGGAGGAGTGATTCTCCATCGAGTTTTGTCATGGTGTAGTGTGGAACAAGTACAGTGTACATTCCATCCTCTACATGTACCTAGTCGGCCCAAATCGCTCAAAGTTTTCCGTTTGTGCGATGAATGGATTATACGACTGGCCAGACACTCGAAAGTCATCCGTGCAGATGCCCCAATCCCACAATCGTTTCTGGAAGCTACAGTGTGGCGATCCACCAAGCGCTTACCTGGTTTCGGGTCCATCGCGCTGCAGCATATCGCCAGCAGGGGAAGAAATCCGAGAAACGCAGAGAAATGCATGTTGGAGCCCTTCTTTCTGGGTGAGAACGAGCGTTTGACTTTGTGGCCAGTTCGACGAGTAGCGTTCACATCTTGATCCAGTTGCGCGAGAGGTGCGATTCAGGCATAACAGAGCAACTATGATACTGATGCCGGAGGCCTCGAGGACGAGGGCCAAGCAGGATGATTGAAAGACACAAATTATGGCGTGGGGCGGTGAAAAAAGTAAGCCAATGCTGTGGGATGTCTTGCTTCGATTCCAAACGCAGCTCTGACTCTGAGCTACGTCTTCGCGGTGATGTATGACCATGCATGTATTAGTAAATGACTGTACAATCATGTAACATTGTTGACTGGTCGTCCATTGTGAGATTGGTAGCAACACGTGATAATTACCGGCATTATGTTCACGAAGTTGTCAATGCTGTGTCCATGGATTGGCGTCTGCACAACATTGAATGATCCGGGATGTCGGTCTACATAACTACTTACTTGTAGTACAGTGTCAGTGCTGGCAACTGAAATCCGACACCCTGACTGGTGGGTTCAGCGGTCTCTGTTTCGTAGTTTTACCATCCCGTGTTGGGTCTTTGGCACTCTTTGCGATGTGAGCGCACCGCTCAGGGGGTCGGATTTCAGTGTGAGTTGCCAGCACTGTACTAGTCTACTCTGTGCTGATGATTGTAATCTGATCTGGCGCAGTGCAGTGCATGCAGTGGCGGATTCATCATGCACGGTCAGAGTACACAGAAGTATGATCCTTCCCGGCTTACCGTCCGGCGTCCGTGACACGATGACGAAGGATGTTTTTTCCGAGAGACAGTAGGCCTAGGGCGGAGACACTGCATGCTTAGCCGGTGAGTGGGTAGATCTAGCATTATACACATGATACATACAGCATGATGCTAACAGAAAGACTACGTAACAGTCTCAGGGGGCCGGAAAGAGAGATGTAGCTGTAGTGTAGGCTGTCCAGCTCCCTAGAGACAGTAGAGAGACCTACGGTAATAGTAAGTAATACATAACGCTACTCACTGGTTTGAGGGAAAGACATAACATTACTACAATGTAGTATGTGATTCAGTAGCGGGCATACATCATGTAGATCTACACAACCCCTGATCAATGGCGTCTGATGATGGACTCCATTGCCACGAAGCTCAGCCCCAGGGCAACAACAGAACAGAATAAAGTGTCCTTCCATTGTGAACTAGTTCCTTGTGTCATGGGCTCGCTCCTCTTCGTGGCCAAGCCCTTCCGCAAGACGAACTGCAGCTCTGCTTTCGGCGGCTCCTGACCTAGGCAGACCATACGTTTAGATCTACATCGTACATACCTAGCAGTAGTAGGTCTAGTACTTAGTAGATCTACTAGGTCGTGTTGGGTGATGCCAACTTAAGTTATGGTCAATCTGTGTCATGATTGCATGTAGCGATGTTACGTCACACATGACACCGTCCGGACGAGATCAGTGACCTCGCGAGTCTCGGATCACGCACGGAGTCTAAAAAGAGTGACCTGCGTTCCTTCGTTCCTTACTAGCCTCAGCCTTAGCCTCTGGATATACCATACGGATAAGAAGAACTCCCGTTATTGCAAACAAAATTAATCTCATCGGTCCCTTGGTGTTCGTCCTAAAGAGGTTTGACTGTACTTGATCCAGGTCTCGATCGCTGTCAGATCTGCAAGCAGAGATTGTTTGTACAGCTAACCATTATTGCTATGGTAGAACGACGGAAGCGATGTAATGTCTAAATCTACTTGAAGTACCAGGATAATCGTATAATCTACAAGGCAGTACGCCTTTACTGCTTCATTCTTGAGCCCTGGTCAGTAAGACCTTTCGCCCGTTCATGCTCTTGTATGACTCGAATCAAGTACTGAAGTAATCCTGAACGGGAGATCCAGATCCAGTCGACTAGTGGTTTGAATGCTAGTCCGTTGTCTGGGTTCGAGGAACCATACAGGCTCCCTACAAAAAAGGAAGCCTCGTTCAAGTTTGGGAAGATGTCGATTCATTCGAATCGTGGTCTGCTCCGCGTACTGGATCCATCGCCTGGTGCATGCTCGCGGAGTGCGAAAGGTCTCTTCATCAACAAACAATACGATGGCAACGACGGTTACGTCTAAACGTTAGGTAGAGCTACATGATTGTACTGCTATCAGACTACCATTATGCATTGTATTGCCAAGAGCACATCAAAACTACCGATACATAAACATGGTTCTCTTTGTTGTGCCCTCATGTACATGTAGTGATGTCATTGATAGTGACCATGGGGACATTGCATATTGGCATTGCCCGATACTCCGCCGGCCTCCTCTGTTTGGCATTGGCTAGCAATATCCGCTCCACCCAGACAGAGGCAGATTTCTTGTAGTGGAGATCCTGGCACGGGCGGTGGCCGTGCATGCTGGGGGTGTGTATGACAGTATGTGTTCTGGGCACGTGAGAGCTTCTGATCAAAGCCACTGCACTGGCAGCACTGGCATGACAGCCAGTCATTACTCAGTCTAGTAGTGTACGTGTAGTATCATGGAGTCTGTACGACTCCGAGTCGTAGTCACCACACATGTAAAACAGCTGATCTGTCATCATGGTTATGTCGGTTTCCCTCCGTAACGTCAGACGCGAGTAGAAGTCTGTTGTACGAGAACTACGACTGCACTGACCGAACTAAAAACAACTACAGACTGTACAGTCATACTAGTACAATACTAGCAGTGTGGTCTGTGGTCCAGTGCACTGAGTCTGTGTGGATCGCCATGATCACTAACGTATAACCAGATAACGACTTGTGGAGTCAGAGGTGGACCATGTGGACAGCCTAGCGTGCACGTGCTCTCACTCTCAGTCTTCTGTGCATACCATGCGCCAGCCTCCTAATACTAGTCCTAGCTATGCATCGCCATCGGGCATTCGGAGATCTACCCTGACCCTGGGCCTGGATCGTGGTCTAAATGAGTATGCATATGCTTGATTATCTTGAGTGGGGTAAACCATGTAAACTAGAAAGTAAAAGTCTTGAAACGTTTTCTCCAAGTACAACTTCACACTTGCAACGCTGGTATTTTGGTTATGGAGCACACAAGAATGGAATGGTCTTGGTGATTCGTCAAGCGAAGCCTTCAAGCTAGGTGCATAGCATAGCAATGTCGACTTCAACAGGGATACACCCTGTCAGCTGGATCCTGGCGTCCTTCTTTGTGGCTTTACTGATTGCGGACGCGAGCGGTGAGTGTTCCTTCTATACAACCCTTGATTTCTCAGTATTTTTCAATGTTGCTTTCCTTCATTTCTCTCAATGCATAATGCAACACTGTCTCAGTTCTCGCTGGAGAAGCACTCTCCGATTCCTAACAGTATCGAATTGTGCCGCTAAATGATTGCGTCGTGCGTTACGATACTCGCATGTTGCTGAGGACGGCTTGGTCCCTGGTAAAATCCATGATCCAATCACCAGCGGGGCATGCCATAATTATGTTCGTCCGTGCATGATCTGCAAGGGCTGCGGGGGTGTTGGTAATGCTGGCCATGGGACAGAGCATGGACGAGATGTAGGCCACACGGGATGACGTCAGTGCAATTGTACTGGTGAAGCTGAAGCTAGAATTTCCCATTCATCACTGGTTCTTGCGTACCTTGTAGTTAAGACTGAGTTCGGAACTTCAGGTGAAGACACCAAAAAGAGTACACCATTGTACATGAAGCAGTCTCTCATTTTCTTAGATCCTTCTTTTGCTGTAGAATGTATTTGGGTGGACTCACCCATTCCCAAAGCACTACAAATGACTATAAACATCATTGACAACATGACAAATGACTAATTCTTACTGTACAACGTCTCGGCAATATTGCCATGGTCAGGTACGAGTGAAAGAATGATACAAGGCAACAAAAGAGCAGTATTATAACGAAAGCCTACCACCAAAAATGCCAGGATTTCTCGCCATGAGGCAAACACAGCAGCAAAGATGTAGGTGACTATGGGAAAATCAAAACATCTCGAGATCACATTCAGTCACTGTCACCTTACAAAGTCCTACATGCACACGGGTCGCAGTCAGCTAAAACATGTCTTCGGGTTTCGTAATTTATTTGAGACATGACGGTATGAAGGATTGTTTCTGCCGAGCACGCTCACGCTGGCTTCATTCATCAACCAGTGGCGTGAGCATCTTGTCGAACTTCGTTCTCACACGTATTTGGCGGTCTAGTCCAAGCAGCTGGCGAGCAAAGTGACTTTTTTCTGGGATACATTTCTTTCACCCAAAGCCATGTTTTAGCTGGCTGTGGCCCACATATTCTCACACCTATTTTTTTTTAAACCCTTGTGTATGAGGCATGCCAAGAAGCGTGTGTTCCTAGTTGGAACAATCAACTTCATTAAGATATTACTATTATTATTGTTATTACGCTTCCTAGCTTCTCACATTGGTATGCTCTTACATAACAGTGCATACACATTGTGTGACAAGGTGGTTAAATAGGTGCGAGATCTACACATAGGAATTGGGAAAGTGGCAGTGACCGAATGTGACCTAGCGATATGTTTGATACTCGTCTGGAATAATGTTCTGCGATATGTTTGATACTCGTCTGGAATAATGTTTTGCGATATGGTTCTTATCTATAACTGTTATGTGCACCTTTGCTACTGATTTCGCCATATGGCGCGAGGTCCTGCTGTTTGGTTTCTGGCAGTAGTTTTGTTATAAGACTGCGGTTTGAAGCCTGCATGGCATGATTCTTTTATCCGTGTCCGACACTGTAACTATATTGCCAAAAAGCAGAATTAGTTCAGTCTATTTGCAGTGCTTTGGGAAAGAATGTTTCCACCAAACATTTTTCTACATAATATTATTACATCTGCAAAATACCTTAAAATACGTCTGACTTCTTTTGTTGTAAAGAACCCTTCTTTTGTTGTAAAGAACCCTTCTTTTGTTGTAAAGAACCCTTCTTTTGTTTTAAAGAACCCTTTGTTGTTGTAAAGAACCCTTCGTTGTTGTAAAGAACCCTTCGTTGTTGTAAAGAACCTTTCGTTGTTGTAATTTGTAGTGTGTAATGGCTACCGTGAGTAGCTAGTCTGGCTGAGGAGCGCATGGAGAAGAGGAGTAGCGGAATGTTGTATGTCTCATTTTGCTTATCATGCAAGTCTCGGTGCAGCTTGCTGATCGCTGAGTAGCGACAGCCGTGTAACCTGCTCAGTGCACAGACCAGCCACGGCCAGGGCTCTAAGGCAGTATGGTGAAGCCATGGACACGGTGCGGTCACTACGGTATTGACCGCACCACATTTTTTGCCCCCAGGTACCCCACGAATCAATCAAAAGAACTGATTTGGACTCGGAGTTGCGAAATTTTTCAGCGGAGCCACCCCCCCCCCCCCTCCCAACAACTAAACTGTAGCTCGGATGGCTGACCGTAGCACCCTAGATTACGTTCCGACACCCCTGGAAACTCACTTACTACATAACCTGTTACTCTGATAGGACATACTCTCGCTTAGTACGGACATTATTCGGAGCACTGGTGTTTTGATCCATACTGGGATATCGAGTATCTCAGACACTAATTGCACTTTTCTGCTGCTCATAGGGGTAAGTCTTGTCAGAGCTCTACTGTAGTTCAGTTATGTAGTGTTTGAAATGGTGTTACATGTGGTACACTCCATATTGATGGCCATCCTGTGCTGTGTCTCATTGTCTCTATGTAGGCCAAACACCAAGTACAACCCTTTACAATGAAACCGGCACTTTGGTCGATGATGCGACTTTCCGTGGCGAATGCAGAGACCTTGTGGCCAACATCAGCGACTATGACACGATCTCGCCCAACGTTTCAAAGATGTTCTGCAGCTGTCTGCGTACGTCAAATCGCGTGCAGAGCCCACCCTGGTTGCCCAATCCGACGACGCGAACGTTCACGGCATTGCTTCACGCCTTGCTTCCGTTGGGCAACCCAGCGCAGTTTCCGGTCGGTCAGCAGATGCTGTGGGCCACGTATATCACTCTGTTCCACCTGAACAGCTACGGGTCGGACGATTTGAAGCTCGCGATCAATTTGTGGCAGACGGACTGTGACACCCTGCGCACCACACGCACAGTCGCCGATCTGCTCGTCAACAACATTGGCACGGGCATCGTGGGGCCGGCCTGCAGCGCGGCAAGCGAGCTGCTCAACAACTTTGCTCCGTACCTGAGCATGGCCGACGTGGCGTATAGTGTGGAGTCTTCCAGGCTCAACAGGCGCGTTGACTACGCCTCGTTTCACCGCATTGCGGCCACGTCTGAAATATACACCAACGCCTGGATAGAAATGATGCAGAATCTTGGCTGGAAATCGGTGTCTGTGATATCGGAGAACAGCGAAGATTTCCAGGTGGTCCTGGACGCCTTTCAATCACACGCTATCAGGGAAGCTGACAAGATCGAGATCAAGGCATTGGAATCTGTGACCAATGACTTTGACGTGGACATTGTGTGGAGCAACATCCGCCGTGCCAGAACAAGAGTTGTGATTCTCATGATGTTTGAGCCACTTGCGCAGAAAATTGCCTGCTCGGCATATCATAAGGTGAGACACACTCGACATTCAGACGTCCAGGCACATGGTGTAGTGTGCAGTGATTGTCGCCGCATTGTCTCTCTCCGTACTGTCTCCCTCATCTGTACTATATATGCGCATGCTCGATACAGAGGAGAGAGACAGCACGGAGAGAGACAGCATGGAGAGAGACAATGCTGTGACAATCACTAAACACGGCACACAGTGTAGTTTTTTTGAAACTGCAGTATGTGTGCGGCATCAGTGATGACCGAATGCCAGTCCGCTTTCAGAGCAGGTGGCATTTTCCTGTAACTAAAGACCACCGTGACTAGCGACCAGCCTGGCACTACAGACCACTTCGCCAGGCGCGGACGGTCCCACATTCATATCATGGTTGTACGGTGAAAACCTCTAACTAAGGACCACCAGCCACTAAAGACCGCTTGCTCTGGCCCCAAGGAAGGGGTGGTCGTTAATCACAGGTCTTACTGTATTGGTAATTCTGGACTCTCCACAGACCCTAGTCTAAATCAAGGCAGTCTCCGTGTGCATTACTCCATGTGACCGTGCTTCAGTCGTTTTGCGTGTTTACCTGTGTGCTTTCTCACAGGGCTTCAGCAGCGCGTGCTGCGCCGGGAAAACACAGCTCACCTTCGTCGTGCCGGGGTGGTACTCTGAGTTTTGGTTCACACAGAACGTGTCCTTCGTTGCCAGTAAGCCTGATAACCACTGTGATTGTATGGCTGTGGCTAAGGAAAACCTATCTCCTCAATGCAATGTTAGCACTAGTAGCCCACAGGCTGTGCAGTGTGTGTACTAGCACAACACGCATGTGGCTTTGCTGTACGAGCTCTTCAAGCACTACACGTGCAGTAGGAGCTTCTGACATGCAAGGCAGTGCAGTATAAAGGTTTTGAAACACAAGGACATTCGGTATGCGCTTCTGAAACACAAGGCTATTCAATACTAACACTGCAACTAGGCTGAGTAGTAGTGTGTAGTGAGCATGGCTCTCCTCTATTCATGAGGTTGGATTTCATTTGCTACCATTGCCAGAAGGGGGTTGCTAGATGCATACTCTGACTGTTTCATATAGTAATACAGTCTAACTTATCGTTACCGAGCCCCAGTTGAATTTTGTATTTGTATTAAATACAAATAGCCTATTCCCTCGATTTAGGCTAAGGCCTGTGGAGAATCCATAAATTTTATGGATTCTCCACAGGCCTTAGCCTAAATCGAGGGAATAGGCTATGTGTGATGACACATTGACACATTGATGACACATTACACGGCTCTCTCGGTGCAATACATAGAATATCCTATTTCCAGGCGTGTGCAAAGCTCGCTGTACAGTGTTTCTCGCAGTTAGAGCACTCTGACTGTGATGCTTTGGGCTTTGGGCTGCAGGCCTAAAAATGCCGTGCTGTTCACTAGACATTCTTACGATCGGTTCGGCCACGGACTCTGAGCTATGCTGCATGAGGAGACGTAAAAAGGTCGAAACAGCTAGCTGTAAGGCAATTGAGTATTACTAGCACTCTCCCTGGCCTCAGGCTGTACTTCGAAGTAGCAAGGTGGTCGGGAAGAGAGGTTCCACTCTGCTTTGAATGCCGGTCCACGATGCTTAATCCGATCATGCTACAGCTTGGGTTGTTTGAACAGTGCTATGCTGTCATACGGCTATTTCTTGTCCTCTGTACCCTCCGCGCATCACAGACTCTGTGACCTACAACTGCACGTCGGAGCAGATGATGTCCATGGCCGCCCATACGTTCAGCATGAGCCAGCAGCTGTACCGTTCCGACGAAGACACCGTGCTGGACATTACAAATGACTACAAGATGTCCGTTACCCGCTACAAGCAACTCAACGCTCTTGCAGCGACACACGTGAGTTCAACACTGCACGATTGTAAAAAAAAACTCGGATGTTGAGCCAATAGTAATATGTAAAGAGAAAAGGACCTATAAGTTAATAGTTATGCCTCAATATCCTTGTCAGTTTTGTACCTTGTTGTTGCACTATCTGATTATCTCATTACCTTAGTATTACTACTCCTTTGTTACTTTTGGTGGAGATAGTGACATCATAATATTATCCCATATTTCCCCATCAAAACGTATGCGATTCAGAGTTATGGACATTCCAAAGTTACAGACAGTGCCCAGTCCTAGACCATCAGGGTAAACGAGGTATGAGAGTGTAGGGTAAACAGGACAGCTGTGAGAATGGTGCTGAAACTGAATTCATACTCTCCGTAGTATGCCCTCCAAGTGCCCTTATGTCCAGCCCTTCGCCCTTTTCAGCACTACTCTTGACCAGCAGATACTTCTACAGCACACTGGCAGCAGTGAATGTGCAATCACGCCAATATGTTTTGAAGCCAGTGAATGACAGCATCCCTGGCCCTGGCCCACCTCATGTCTCCCATCCCTTCCTTTCTCTTGGAATCACTGTAACTGTAAGCAGTTGTGTGTTGTATTGTATTGTATTGTATTGTATTGTATTGTATTGGTCGCACTGCCTAACAGCGTATCAATAAATTATGCCCAGATATGATCTACGTCTTGCAAAATGTGTTTTTCAAATTTGCAAAGCTGATACTAATGTTATATCCACGGCCCTGGCTTTTTGCACAGTCCAGCATGATTCCCTTCTCCTGACTTGCTCCTGACTCCTGACCTCTCTATGGTGGTGTTGATTGTGACTGTGGTCCTTATCTGTTCAACCCCACTCCAGTGCTACGCGTTTCCAACTATCCCCGTCGCCTATGACAGTCTGATGCACGACTCCATCGTCATCTACTACAAAGCTCTGCAGTTGCTGCAGGAGACACTGAAACACTCCAACACCACGTACCGGAGTCCCGACTGGAAGCTAAACTATATCCAAGGACAGAAGCTGTAAGTACGCACCTACAGGCACATTACTCCTAACTCTCTCCCGAATGGTCGCGCCACTGCCAACAACTGATGTAACATGAATGGTCGGGTGAAAAGCTGAAGAACTGGAAATGAATAATTCAAAAACCTGCAACCATTGTATTTAACGTGGTCACTTAGCCTAGTTTCGCGAATATTGTACTTTGCAAGCATCTTCAGTATAATGTGCATGTATTCCTTACAGCCTGGCTATACGGTGGGTGCTGATCTACCTGGTTGGCAAGGTGGACTTCGAGAGCCTGTCTGGACACGTCTACTTCAGAAAACTGAACCGCACCTTTACCACCAATGTGCGCGAGGCCCAGGCGGAGGTGGAGAAGATCATGGAGTACGGCAACTTTTCCAGTATCATTGGTGACTTTCGGGCCAGTGAGCCTAATCGACCGGTATGTTTTTGTGCAGTTTTGTTTTGCACTTCACATGAGTTGCAAATGAGAGCAATTTCCAGGCATGAAAAAGGGCTGATTGGCTGTGACTATAAATACAAGACGAAACTAAGCAGGGGGGGGGGGGGGTGGTGGTGGATAAGCCAAAAGCGGGTCGTAATGAACACTACAGGAATTACTTGTATTCTAGTCTACTGTGTGGATCGACCGCTTAGGAGCTGGAGTTACGCCTTGATCCTAGAGGGTGGTGGCATTCCTGCCTTGATCCTAGAGGGCGGTGGCATTCCTGCCTTGATCCTAGAGGGTGGTGGCGTTCCTGCGGATGCGGAAAACTCGGCCTCCAACCGAGTGTCAAGCGAACCTTGATTTAAAAAAAATTATTTTACTGTGTAGCAGGTAGCTTCTCATTAGGCCTCCTACCCGTAGAAGGTGGCAGTCTGGGTTCGCGGCCCGACCGCATGAAAACAGCCGTAACTTCCATAATAATTGATGAATTTTGCTCAAATTTTGCCCACATACCCAGTGTATTTCACTAAGTCCAATGAAGTATAAATCAAGCTCACACATGGGAATCCGCAGACAAAATAGTCAAATCTGCGATTATGCCGTACCACCAATACCTTAGACGCAATATGCAAACGCAGAAAGAAGCTGGGTAGAAACTGAGTGCTCCACAGGATTTCCTTCACATATACCTAGGTGCTAAGTGGAGCGGAATTTTGAAATCATATTCAGAACAAAGTACTGAAGCTGTCAAACAAAAATCATGCAATCGCGCAAAATTTAGGTCCTCGATCAGTAGCACTTTACTCAAAGCTACTAGACAAATATAAAAATCCATGACACTTAGCACCTAGATAAATGCTCACAGTTTCCAAAAATGTATGGTTTATGGGGTCTGTGACTTACAGGTTCTTTGCTACGCTGTCTAAGAGGTACGGGACTCAGTGGAAAATGGAGAAAAAAAGTGCTCTGTGCAAGTACAGATGGAGGTATGTCTGTCCAACTAGAACTTAGTCGAAGCCACCAGCTTCATATGTCACACCGTCTTCCTCTTGCTGCTCATCCTGGATGCCCTTCCTGATCCTCCTTCGCTTCTTTCGTGACCTCTTCCCTTCTTCTGACTTCTTTCTGGCAGCATGTGCCTGTCTCTCACGGTCTAGCAGCTTGATGAGACGTGTCGTATGGTGTCCAGTAGGGAGGCCCATCTCGTCCAGAACGCGTTTCACTGCCACACCTCCATCATTGAACCAGGCCACGGCCAGGTAGACGCACATCTGGACAGTGGGAGCGGATGCAAAGCCTGTCTTTGGACACAACTGCTACACGAGTCCATTGAATGCTTCGTTGCGATTCTGCGTAGCACCCTTCTGGCAGCGCTCGAGCAAACTCCGGTCGGACAACCGAATGTAGACCGGCTTCAGTTCCTTCCATACTGCCTCTGGCAGGATATTGTGGTGGGCGTAGACATCACCACCTGCCTGTTGCTGCTACCATCTTCACCAGCTGTTAATTCCAGGCGGACAATACTGGTGCTGAGGTTTACTGTCGCTGGATGCACGATGCATGAGGGATGCCCATATGGCCCTGGCCATGGCTTGCAAGTCTCCGCTGTTGTTCCGCACAGCCATGCCATAGTAGGCTTGCAGCTTGTCGATCATGGCATCCGTGAGGCGACCACGTCCGCCTATAGTGCGCCCATCAGCAAGCTTCTTGCCCGCAAGGTTTTTCTTCAGCTTTCTTAGGCTGGTACCGATGCGTTTTTGAACGTGGCCGACACATTCCTCCTTGACTACAGGCACCTCGGGCCCATACGGACAAGCGTCACGCACAGCCTTAAACTCTTGGTATCTCCATCACCAATGTAGGTGGTGTACCTCAGCTTGCGGCTCTCAAAGGACCTGGCCCACAGAGTCTTGGCGGCTGCACTCTCCATGGCAGGAGCTGATACAGTGGTGTTGACTGAGCAATCGTGTTCGGCAATCTGTCGATCATAGTCATCTTTGGTTAGCTCTCCCTTCTCTTTTCTTGACGCCAAGTGCGTGCACTTGTGGCAAAACTTTGAAAGCACTTCGCAGTCTACCACTTTGCCGACATCATATGCAATTATAGTGAAGGCTCCGAAGAGCGATGCGAATCCTCGGCGCATCCAGGTACCGTCATAGGAAGCAGCGATATCGCTACCCCCATCTGCTGCGGACACTGCTTTCTCAGCTGCCTCAGTCATGCTACGCTCAGCGACGCTCTTGGACGCGGAATGCAGGCCTTTAGCATGTCTGTAAAATGTCGACCGACTCATAGGTGATGGCATATTTAGTGCACCCGCCAGCTGTACCATTGATTGACGTCCACGGCCAATCAGTCGCATTCCGAATACTGCTCGTCTGTTCACCTCCCAGACCCGATTGAACTTCTTGGACATAAATTCGCTTGCTATGTCGCCGCAGTTAACACAGGAAAGCTCCAGGCATGATGCAAGGCCTCCCCGTTGCGATTCGCTGATCGTGACTGCGCCATTACAGCCACCGCAACAAACTGCAACTGACAAAAGCTGCTGAAGGCACTCGAGATCAATCAGGCGAAATCCATGCGCCCCTTCCTCACACTCTTCATCCGAGTCACTGTCGGAGGAACTGCTGTCGACTTCACCGCCACTTCCATCACTATCGCTGCTTGAAGACGTGGCTTCAGCTGACACGTCAAGGTCGTCATCAGACAGTGGCAAGTCAGGAATTTGTTCTGCAGGCGAAATTTCACCAGAGGGAGACTTCGGCGCCTGAGACACTCCATAGAACGTTCTTTTCCTTTTCTTAGATCGTCCGGGCTTTCCCTTGGCTCCAGACTTCCCCATAGTAGCCAACGAAGGGGTTAGCTCCAAGAAACAATTACTCCAAAAGTTTCAACAGCAGAGCGATCAGCTGAGATCATGAGAGTCGAAATTTGAATTTTTTTGAATTTGCGCATGTGCAAAAGTTATCTTGGTTGCCATGGTGACAAACATCGTGCGCGGCTGTCAGTCTGCAGCGCAGAGGAGTACTAGGAGTCGCTCCAGAAAATTTTAATGAAATCGCTCAAAGATTGACGGTAAAAATCGGAATAGTGTGCAAACCTAAATTTTGTAGAAATTTGCTGATATTTCAGTATTTCAAAAACAATTGTGCAGACTTTGCGCGACTATATCTCCGGAAGGAAGCACCCGATTACGCTCAAATTTTCAGGATAAACCCTTTGGACCATACACAAGACGCTGCCAGTGAAAAAATACAGAAAATCGAAACTTTGTTTTTTGACCCTCTGAACCCAGACTACCACCAAGGCCGATGCATACTTCATTTTGCGTACGGGAAAAATTTGATTTGAGCTCAACTATTTCGCGTACGGGAAAGCCGTCGTGTGACGGTCGCGCGATGGCTTTCCCGTACGCGACATGAAGTATGAATCGGCCTTTGGTGTTTAAGAGACCACAGCTCTTGTGAGGATTTGGTCATCGTATACACTTCACTAGGCGAGGATACTGGTAGTCTGTTCTCTGACATATGAGTGGCGACCTGTAGAATGGCACTCAGTTCTCTCTACAGGATAGAGTGCTGGCCTGAAGGAAGTCTGATCGCGCTGTAATATAGAAATCACTTACTTCAAACAGAATTCTGATTGTGAGTAGTTTTGTAGCATTATCACATGCTCAAACCTTGTGAGGTGATAAACTGAACTCGAGCACTTGTGACTTTCACCTTGGTCCGTATGTTTTGGCGACCTCGCAGGTCAATGCAACAATCCGGCAGCGAACGGCCAATGGGTCGGATCTGCTGATAGCAACGCTGGACCCCGAGTATCGCATCCACACGTATCTGCCGGAGAGGCTGACCTGGGGACAGTGCTGCCCCAACAGCATACCAAGTGATACCATACCGGGTAAGATTTTATATACTGCATAAAAATGAACAAATATTCGGCACATTTATTTTCGGCTATTTTCGGCCTGGGCCTTCTAGGCCTAAAATCTGTCGCGGCTGAAATTTTAGTTTGCGAGTTTTAGTATGGCATAGTATACAGGCAGCAGCAGTACAGGCCGAAAATTCAATGCGGCCAAAATTGGTTTTCTCCCGCGTGGAATGAGCTCCGAGGCGTCGGGCGATAGTGCCTCTGAAAGAGACTTGAAAGATGCAAATGTCTTTGGTGTACTTGCAGTAGGGCTTGAAAGTGCTACGTCACAGCATAGCAAAAATTTCAAAAATTCAAAAATAATGTCCACTAACACCACCAGTTGCTAAACAATCAGCTCATGTGATAACATTGCACGACACTGACCGACGGTACTGACGTTGCTGCACGACACTGACCGGCAGTAGTGTTAGTGGACATTATAGCGTAACTTGTAGTTCCTTGATCCTTTTTCTTTTGGATAGGTATACTTGCTTGTTCAGCATTACAGCAACTTCTACAGACTTTGTATGCTTCCTTCTGTTCTGGATACTTGCTAATCATCATCACGAAATGTCTTCCGTGTGTGTTCTGACCTGTGTACATGTATTTCTCTCAGAAACGGATTCTGAATGCACCTATTTGTCTGAGTCGCTGGTGGAGAACCTCGGAGGCTGCTCCCAGGCTCTAGGCTTTATCATCGGATTCAGTAAGTTCTACCACACAGACCATTATGTTTTAAAAGTGAGCAAAGAAAGCCGCTATCCCACAATGTTGATTCGATTTGAAGACCCCGCATGCAGCTCTCTATGTAGCTGAGTATTATAGCACTGTCACCTGCCAAAGAACGGGGGGGGGGGGGGGGGGGAGGGAGAATTAGCATTGTAGCCTAGACCGCTCCCTTAGTTTATGTGCAGTTGAGTCCTGCACTGTGTGTATATACCGGTGTGCTGTGCTCGGTGAAATCCTAACCTGTGTTGTTCTTCAGTGCCCAACCATACATAGCACAGTAAAATTCCCTTTAAACCTGACGCCACTTAGTCACGGCACATCCACCTACTGGGCATCTTTCTGACCATACATTGTTTAATTATAGTCACAAATATTGGCTTTTCAATGAAAAACGGCGCCAAAAACTATTTTACTTGCGTGCAGTATTAGAGTACTTGAAGTATGTACGAGTCAGTTTATTCTGAGTTGCGGGCAATTCATAGTGACTGGCAGGACTTGGTCCCAACCTGCTTGGATTAGGCAAGTTTTACTGTAAGGTCCTCTACCAGAGTGCCATACATTCACTTGCCAAGAATGTTTTTGAACGGTGAAATATGCCTGACACATGGCCTGCTACTTGTGTTGTCCTGTTGTTGTTTTTTTTTGCTGTCTGTAGGTATTGGCCTGTTGCTTCTGATATTCGCGGTCGTGGCTGTAGTTTGGCAAAGATGGTGAGCACATGCATGTACAGACAGTGGTGTTGCACTTGTGGTGCCAAAGCTCACTTGGAGGGTGCTGAGTAATGATAATATTGCACCGTCGAAGTCCAATCTCCCATGTGCACGTGGTGCATGCGTAGCCATGCCAGGTTAATTGTGTGTACTTAAACAATATCTCATGGCAGGATTGATGACCAGTATAGGGGAATGGGTAAGAGAAAATACGGCAAAATTGCAAGCGTCTCCGTTCTGCCACGGTTGACTCTTACCATCCATCTTAACTCAATAATGGTCAGTCTTTTGACGTCCCCGGAGGAGAGGACTATTGTGACAGTATTGTCTATATGAAAAATTTAAAAAATAGTGACGTGCGGCGATCATTAAGGGAAAAGGATATGCTACCATAATAGTGCTCCCCCCAATGTATATCTTATGCGTGTCATCGTGGATAGTCTTGGTGGCAAATGTTTACGGCATGTTAACTCCTACGCTTGAAGTGGAACGGTTTTTGGCCGGCTATTATATACGTAGTTCATCATTTCGAAGCAGGTGATTTCCATGACGTGCATGTCATGATTGTAGATTGCAGCAGAATTTTGCTACTGTACTAAATACAGGAAGCTAAGAAGTCGAAATAATACGACTCTGATATGTTGCCACGTTCACCAGGTACAAGAAAAAGATCAAGGTGATCAAGCGGGCAGCTCAGTATGGTCTAGACATGGACAGCACTGATCTGATGGAGAAGACGCAGGCACTCAGCAAGTGGGAGCTGCCCAGGTCCAGCATCATCATCAACCGGCGTCTGGGCGAAGGTGAGCTTTAGCCACGGCGGTCTGAATGAGTCTGAATCGGGATGGTTTGGTAGTCAATTTGTGCCTGGGTACAGGTGTATCAAATGTGCGTGCTTGCAAGACGGTTCCTATTGCCAGCTATTTTTAAAGGGTTCCCGCGCACTGCACACATGCACACACGCATGCACGCACGTACCCACGCACACATACACACACACACACACACACAGAGGCCCATTGCACTGACTTCAGAGATTGGGTGGCCGTGGAAAGGGGTGCAGGGTCCTCCCTGGGGAAAAAAATCGAAGCCAATTGCAAGCATCATTTCAGGTCATTTGGCACGTGCACACCCTAGAAATGTGGACCTAGGTCCAGTATGCACATAATGACCTTTATAATCACATGCCAACCTACACATATGCGGCTGTTCACCCCCCCCCCCTCCCCTACACGGGGACCAGCCACACCCCTGTTTACCATTCACCACCTGACACATGCTCTACCCCTCGCACGCTGCAGGTGCGTTCGGAGCAGTGTACGGTGGAGAGTTGATCCCGGACCGAGGTAACTCCACGTCCAGTACTGTCAATATGACCTGCACTGGAGTGGCGGTCAAGACACTTCACGATGGCGCCAACAACGAGGAGAAGGTACTGTCTGTGCTCGATAGTATGCACACTCCATCCTTGGTACAAGATTGAGTGACTTTTAAACACGAGTATGTGGTTCACAGATAATGTACTTTTTATGAGAATAATAGCCACAAACCATCATGGTGCAAACTCCGGCGAAAAAGCACAGGGATACGCACAGCGATAGCATCCGAAGCAGTGGAGGCGGCCGTGCATGTGTAGCTAAACCAACCAAGGGTACTGCACACATATGCACACTGAGGACATGCTGCTCTGATTGCTGAAGTGCCGCGCTTATCGTGAGTAGACCAAGCAATCTTTTCATAGGGTAGCTTGCTATCGGCACGCTATATCCTTGTACGAATGAGCTCAAAACGAACACTTTTTCTTTCTGTAGCGGGCACTGACCAGACATAGCGGAGGAGGCCTTTCTTCTTTTCCCTTGCTGCCTTTCCACATACGACTGTGACAAGTGATAGCTGGCAAAGTGTGGTGTAAATTAGGCCTTACTTCGCTGAACCTTGAGCTGTTGTAACATGGACTGGCGGGGGTACCTTCAGCAGCATACCCTTACTACCGGGCAGCATCGGGGTCCTTGCGGTGGAGTAGTACGTCCAGTGCTTTCGCAGAAAAACGGTGCGGGTTTGCACCACCGTGCACTCGTGCTGTTCATGCGCAAGTTCCTTTGAGCAAGGTAGCTTCTGCCTGTTTGCTCAATGGTGTTGAGCACCTTGCCTTTGTTGAAAACTTGAGATATTTCTCTTGCAACGATTGCTCATTTCTCTCCTTTACAGAGTCAGTTCCTGGCAGAGGGACAGCTGATGACGACCTTCGATCATGAGAACATTGTCAAGCTGCTGGGCTTCTGCACCAAAGACGAGCCGTTCTACGTTGTGATGGAGTTGATGATGCACGGTGACCTCAAGGGTTATCTTCTGTCCTATCGGCATCTGTGTGGTAGCGGAGACCCGGTAAGGGAATTACCCAGTTACAATTAACTTGTTTATGATGATGTTGGGGTAACTTTTCGAGGATATTGATACACTTAGTATTCCACAGCGTATCCCAGGCTAACATGAATTATATAAAACGTGATATCAAACTATTTTCAAAGCTTGATTAGTATACTGTAATTTATAGCAAAGAAAAAAGGACCAAAAAACTACAAGCTACGCTATAATGTCCACTAACACCACCAGTTGCTAAACAATCAGCTCAGGCGATAACATTACTGTATTTCCCCGATTAGAAGTCGCACCCCCAATTTCAGGTTTGAGCAATATTGTTGCGATATATTCACTTCAGAAGTAAGTCATGCTCGATTGTAAGTCGCACCCCTTTTTTTTACCCTGAATCTTAGTGTAAGAATGTGCGACTTATAATTGGGGAAATACGGTATAACATTATAGCGTACTGTATAGCAGGAAATTTTCGGACGGAATTTATTTTCGTACGATTTCGTACCCGGCCTCTTTTGCACTAAAATAAATTCCGTACTAAAATTTGTTCATGTGAAACTATGTACACTGTACATGCGCACTGCTTGCGAACACGTGCTTTTTGCATGCAGCACTGTACGAAAATAAAATCCGTATGAAAGGTCGAATTGTGGCTTTGTCCGAAAATATTTCCGTCCGAAAATTTCCTGTTATACAGTACCTTGTAGTTTCTTGGTCTTTTTTTCTTTACTATAAATTTATCCGTGGCTCTCCACCGAGTATACTGTAAATCAACAAATATTCGGCGCACATCTATTTTCGGCTTTTTTGGCCTAAAATTTGTTGCGGCCGAAACTCTGCTTTGCACGGTTCAGTGTGACAGTATATGCAGGCAGCAGTAGTAGAGGCTGAGATTTTAATGTGCCCGAAGCGTGTTTTAGCCCTGGGAGGTCGAAACGTAAGCGCGCTGAAAATGTGTACACTTACTTCGGAGTACAGTACATGTACCTTCTGTATGGGCTCATCTCTGTTGCATACCTGCATGCTGGAAGATTGAAAAGATGCAGTGAGTTTCTTGTTTTTGCATGTGTTGCTTGGTTTTTGAAAAGAAACCCGAAAACTTGCTGCTTTCCTCCACTTCTGCCGTGTTTAGAGTGAGCTGCATAGCGAAAGGCTGACGTCGATGGTAACACAAATCGCTAACGGCATGGCCTATCTGGCAGAACTACGCTTCGTGCATCGGTAAGTCGTATCGATGGGATGGATTTCATTTCTGAGTGTTGAATGGAACCAAAAATTCCAGCCCTGCACATCATTTCACTCGGATGGTGAGCCAATTAAATTATGGTGAAAAGGAATAAGATCTGGTTACGTTGGTAGACAGTTAGTCATAACTCGTAACATTTTGTCCTCCTTTCTGCACATCATTCAGCAACATGTTTTTCTGATTAGCCCCATCCCTCACACAAACAAGTCAACAAAGAGGCATCTTTGGATTGAGGAGTGCTGGTTTCGAAACAATTGGTTTGAAGCTCAAAGTAGAGCTGGTGTTAGCTCAGAGCAGAGCTGCTGTTAGCTCAGAGCAGAGCTGCTGTTAGCTCAAAGTAGAGCTGCGGTTAGCTCAAAGTAGAGCTGCTGTTAGCTCAAAGTAGAGCTGCTGTTAGCTCAAAGTAGAGCTGCTGTTAGCTCAAAGTAGAGCTGCTGTTAGCTCAAGATAGAGCTGCTGTTAGCTCAAAGTAGAGCTGCGGTTAGCTCAAAGTAGAGCTGCTGTTAGCTCAAAGTAGAGCTGCGGTTAGCTCAAAGTAGAGCTGCTGTTAGCTCAAAGTAGAGCTGCTGTTAGCACAACGTAGAGCTGCAATGCTAAATGGATGTAATATAGCGCAAGGCAGAGCCGCAGCAAATAGCTAGATAACACCAGTTGTGAGAGTGGACCCGATTAGTGGGTACGATAATTATGATGGTGTGAATAAGTTGGATAGGGAGGGATGGTGGAAAAAGAAACGCTGCTGAAGCACGATCCGTTGTCTGGAAGAGCACACCAGGGCAAGCAAGATTTGTTTTTCTTTTCCGCAAAATGGGCTGGTGCCATTTGTGATTACGCAACAAAACAAAGCGCATGACGTCAGTCTTGAATGCAGTACAAAGCAATGCAGTGCAGTGTGTGCGCTAGTTCGAATTGTTGCTAACAAGTACTAGCACAGCTAGTACACCATATATGTAATTACGCATCCTCGGTGCTCCACCTTGAAAGTCCAGATCATGCTTCGCAACATTGAGCTGTCAACCTATGCTTGTGTGCCTTCATGTGTTGCTTGCAGTGACATTGCAGCGCGTAACTGCATGGTGACCATAAACTACACGGTGAAGATTGGCGACTTTGGAATGGCGCGTGACATGTACACAAACGACTACTACAGAGTGAAAGCAGAAGGTAAAGTGTGCTGATTTATTACACGTCAGGTGACTGTTACTAGGGTTACGGCCAATCGGGGACCTTTCCCAGAAGGGAAGTTTGCTAACACTAAGTTACACTATACATTTACTATATAGGGTACAGTTTTTGCCATGACCTTAATTTGCGGATCAGAGGTTTCCCGGCTAAGCAGTGCAGTGTCGCAAAAAAAAAAACACTTCACCCACGGTGCTGTTCAATGAAATCCAATGTCATGAATACGTTGGAACTCTACACCAGTGAACCGTCTTGTGTTCACAGATCTGGGTCTGTGCAGTGTTCGATGTAGTACCGACTCAGTCGATCAGATTTCGTTGATTAGCACTATACAGGCGCGTAGCACCGCCGTTGGCGGTGGTCCGGCCGGAGCGGCTGCTACGCCCCTGCTATAGGACTTGAGAGCGATGATGTCAGAAGTCGTCAGAGGTCAAAATCTAACGACAAAATGCCGACATTTTGGATCCAGTCTGCCCATGGGAAAGTATTGGATGTTGTGGGGTGGACCCCTTGTGTCGCGGGCACGTTGGTTGTATTTCTGTACCAGGAGTGGGTCCCTGACCGGGAGGGTCCAGTTCAGTCACTATACCGGTGGATGTGGTGCTATGCACCCAAACGTGCATGGATCCGTACAAGAACTGGATCTGAGTGGATCCAAAAGTTAGCGTTGCCATGACTCCGGGCTGGCTGTCGTAGAACTTTCAAGCGCTGTATACAAGTGTAATTATGTGCTATCTCCCGTGTCCTGTTTGCTGTAGCTCCATTACCTGTACGGTGGATGGCGCGGGAGAGCCTCTTCGACGGCCGCTTCACTCTGCCCTCGGACATGTGGAGCTTCGGTGTGGTTGTCTGGGAGGTGATCACGTTCGGTGAGATGCCCTTCCCGGGTATGGTAAACGGCGAGGTGATCGAGCACGTACGCGAGGGTGGCACGGCTCTGCTACCGCCACACTGTCCGCAGAATCTGTAAGCAAAATGCACACAATATACATCAGAAAATTCCATTAGTCTGTCTGGACTAAAACAGTTGGTCTATTTGGAAATGAAGTGCCGGAAAAGCAAAATATATGCAGAATGGGACATTGGTTGTCGTGAGCAACGCTATAACCATCTGAGTTATGGTACCAGGCCAAATCTAGAAGTTACTGGCAAATGATTCACTCCACCACATGTACGGATCATGCATTTCTAAAATACCCGGGTATCCACTCTTGTTGTTCACTGCCATCTCTGGCTGTGTAGCTGTCCACCACAGGCAGGTGCATTGGTGTGGCTGTTCAGGTCGCCAGTATTGGGGGCTTTGCATATCTGCTCGCCCATTGGTTTCACGAGGCATTCCACCGTGTACAGTATGATAATCATACCACTGCTCCACCGTGTACAGTATGATAATCATACCACTGCTCCACCGTGTACAGTATGATAATCATACCACTGCTCCACCGTGTACAGTATGATAATCATACCACTGCTCCACCGTGTACAGTATGATAATCATACCACTGCTCCACCGTGTACAGTATGATAATCATACCACTGCCTTCATTAAGGTCATGAACTGTGTACAGTCACACTCATAAGTGTACTACAGCTGCCTGTACCGGCCGAGTATACCGGGGACATGCTGCCGCACGAAAAGGCTGCAGCCATGTGTTATTCCTAGGTGCCATTACCGGACTATAGGCACCCAGGTCTGCACACACTTTCAACCATCATATGGCGTAGCAAAGAACTGGTTTGTTGCCTTTGGCCTTCATCCTGCAGGAGGGTGTTCATCAACTCCTGCTGGACCAGCGATCCCGAAAGCCGTCTGACAGGGGCGGACGCTGTCACTGCCCTTCGCCGGGATCCTCGTCTCGTTGTGCCGTGTGTGGAGGCACCGCGGACACGTAGAAACCGAGGAGGAACAGCTGGCAGTATGGTAAGTGAGCTGCTGTGTTTATCTACAGTCCATTTCAAAACTATAGACGCGTACCTAGGCAAAACCATTATGCCAGCATCTATACCACATAAAATCTGTGATCACCTTGTGCGTAAAAATTTTCAAATTGGGCGTCTGTTATCCAATCGTTTAGAAACTATATGAGAGTAATTGTGGAGCGGACCTTTGCAATATTCTGAAAACTATTCTCAAAAAGTTCCAGCCAAATTTGAAATATTTCAAAAACACTGCGCGTCTATAGTTTTGAAATGGACAGTATGTGTAGTGATGCCATGTTAGCATACATGTAGAAGCTACGACCCAACTTGGCCATTTGGAATAATTGTGTGGAGTGGTGGAGTGTTACGAATATCATTGGGAGTGTTTCAAATATTATTTGAAACACTCCACCACTCCACACTGAGGAGCTCTCAATGAGCGAAACAGCTGTCTGGAGGATATTCAACATCTAGTATCATCTACCCAAGAACGAATTTCCTCGCTGTGGTGTTGTGACTGTGAGCTGCAATTGCCTGTTCTTGTTGACAGTTGTTGTAGAAACCTGTGCTCCTGCGTACTCATGTTCTGCTATTATGTGTTTTTTTCTCTTTGAATGCTGGGTGGTGCCGTCATCCATGTTGCAGAAGACAACCGTTGAAGCACAGCAGGTGGTAAGGCGTCGCAACGGGGCACCAGGATCATCGCCGATACCGGAACAAACTCTTGCACGCTCCCTCGAAGAGGTGGACGAGACTGCATTCAGTGGCATGGATCGCTACGTGGTCAACCCCAGCAGTGTGAGAACCGAGTCGCGGAGGGACCTGCTGGTCAAGAATCAGTCGGCGAATCTGGATGATGGCTACGAGAACACGGATCTGGTCGGTGCGAAACCCGCCGCTCGCACGGGCTATGAAAACACCGAACTCACCCGTGCTAACGCGGACCTCGCCTACGCAGACAAAGACCTTGGCTACGTTAATACTGACCTGTCTTAGCTGTTGTTGGTCTGTGGTGTGAAATTAACTGCACATCACTGATCACACCACCACCACCACACACTATACTCTTTATTTACTGGTTGGTCTGCGGGTACTGGGATGGGGTAATGGATATTCGGATATCTTCATTCTGGATGACATCGTGCTTTTTGTTAGTCCTATTAAATGGAAACCCAGGCCTAGAATAGTAGCAGAAAGATCCAATAGAACAGGTAGGTGTGCCTGACGGATGCTGCACTGCATGTATCCATGCAGGTCGTGCTTGGTGCAATACTGAACAACGAGTCAATCCCAGTCACCCAAAGTACCTGTCACCGATTAAGAAAAAGTAGATATTTCGTTTTTTATTCTTGAGCTTCTTTTATCAACAGAGATATTAGTCTACCGGTATTTGAAATAGAACGATTCACCTTAGATTTTCTATAATTTTTCAGCTTTCCACTCATACATGTTTTTTTTGCGTGTGAGCTTGTCACACCACAAGGACATCATGGACATACGTAACACAAAACTTTATTCATAATTATCGTATCTGTTTTTCACGCGTAGATTCTTTTACACACAGCCACACTTAGAAGTAGCGGCTTTGGGGCTACAAGTAAATGACGTATTTTACTTGTAGGAACAACCAGCAACAACTCATTTTTATGATTTTTATTTCTATGCTTTTGTGTACACATGCGCTGCAATCCTGTTGCTATCTTGAGCCTCCCCTATTTCATATTCAAATTGTAGCATAATTATACGGTATATCATGGTAATTGGTGAGATAGTTTGGTGCTTGCAAAGTATGATTGTGCATTCATTGAACACAGTTCAAGGGTAAGCCAGATTTGTAAGGGGCATAACGCTGTCTGTCAAAAAAGTGTGATAAATTCAGGTTGAGCGCTCCAAAATAAAATGTAAAAAAAAGCGACAAATTTCGCAATTGTACAGCAATTGTACAGCAAGTGGGGTTTTTTGCTCTAAAGCTATTGAATACTGTGCATGCCGGGTGCGAGTACCATACACTAATCCAAACATTGGCATGATCATGAACACAGCAGCTAGCAATAGCATGTAGAATAAGAAGTCAACACGCAGTCAGCAGAGGAATCGTTCTGTGCAGGAACGCACTGCACCGAGAGAGCCAGCCGCATCGGTATCACCGAGTGCAAGCCCTAGCATAGACGGCACGAGCACGCAACACACGCGCTCCTAACGACGAGCAGAGTATCACGAACTGCACCGGGCTACACTAACGCCGGATCCACTAGCCTACTCAACACAAGACCTCACAGCACTGCATGTACTACGGTATAACAATCAAGACCTCACAGCACTGTATATACTACCGCGTGATGATCCAGATCGCGAAGTATGACGAACGGTGTCATCCTCAAGAGAACACACACTGGTCTTGGGTGCTCATCATTCCTATTCTGGTCCCTGCTCTACCATTGCAGGATTGACTTCGAACATGAAGAGATCCCCGCCTTCGCCTAGGACGTCGGCGGGGTTCTTTTTGCCACCTGCAACGACGTACAGCTTTCCCGTGTCCGTCTTCACCATATCCACAGACAATGCTGAGCCTGGGATGAAGTGTTTGAAGATTGGAGCCTGGACGCCGACTTTGAATACCTGCAGAACACAGGACAGACACCGAGACACAAACATGAATCGATATGGGAAAGTGAGTGAGAGAGGGAGAGGGATAGAGAGAAAGGGATAGAGATAGAAGGAGAGAGAGAGAGAAATGAGGCGTGTTGAATGGTGTAATCCCAGCACAAGTTGCTATGTCTAACATATCTTATTCGTTATCATCGCTTCCGCGATGGGCATCTGTAAGTATATATATATATAATTATATGTGTGTGTGCAAAGTTCAAGAAGGCCACAGGTAGACTCATCATGGCTAACAAATCAGCCCTAAGCCGATTCTTGGATACACCTATAGAGAGAACACGGTTAGAGGTGATGTTCAAGATGAAGACATTGCAAGCGGCAACAAGCTAAGAGTGCCTACCTGAACCTGCTCCGTGCCAGGCTGTTTATTCTTGGTTCCCCAGGAGCCGACCACCACGTACTCGCCGTGGTCCGACATCGCCACGGAGCACGGCTTGTCGTAGAAATCGCCGTCGTGCTCCACTGGATATAGATAACTGAAGACTTGCTTCTGCGTGCGCATGTCGTACACCACCAGCTGGTTGTGGTTGAGATCTCGGTTGATCCAGGTCGTTGCCAGATACAGGCCTTCGGGTGAGAAAGCCATGGCCACTAAGTCATTCGGGTAGGGTGTCTGTAACATATGGGTGGCGAGCGGTGGAGCGTAAAACAACAGAGCAGACGAGTAAGGAAAAAAGAAGTGTGATGTAGATCAATGAGACACCGTGTGTGTGTGTGTGTGTGTGTGTGTGTGTGTGTGTGTGTGTGTGTGTGTGTGTGTGTGTGTGTGTTTTCTGCACCTTGTCCTCACCCACTTACTGAGGTGTGGTGAGCCCATAAGTGGGATCATTTTCAAGTCCACCCAGAGTTTTGGGGATTTCAGGGGGTGTCGGCCGTTGGGCGGTTCAATAGCCAGTTGAGTCATCTTTCCAAGATTCCTTTTGAGTCTCTCTCCCCTCTTCCGGGGAGACCCACGTGACCAGTTTTGGCAGTGAGCAACAAGTACAAGTACAAGTGTGTGTGTGTGTGTGTGTGTGTGTGTGTGTGTGTGTGTGTGTGTGTGTGTGTGTGTGTGTGTGTGTGTGTGTGTGTGTGTGTGTGTGTGTGTGTGTGTGTGTGTGTGTGTGTGTGTGTGTGTGTGTGTGTGTGTGTGTGTGTGTGTGTGTGTGTGGGGGTTATGTTCATCACCAGTGCATAACCGTGAAACACATTTCTTACAAACCTAACGCAACGGGACAACAGTGGTCGTAAGGCTGCCTGCAATACTCACACACGACTGCAGACGTGTACACACACACACTCGGCGTCTTTTGCACGAATGCGCGGACGCGCGCGCGCACACACATACACACACGCACACACATACTACATAAACACACACACACACGATGGTGCAAGGAAAGGTACACGCCAAACTCTACAACACACCTCGACGAGATCGTGACGAGCATACGTCAGCTTGTCGGCATCGGCCCTGCGGAAGACCTTCAACACTAGCATTGTGCGATTGTCATAGCCTTGCACGGCGATAAACTCTGCCGAGCTCGAGACTATCATTGACTGGATGTTTGTGTCGAGAGCAGTGACAACTTGCTGCCCAAACTACAGAACAGCAACACAAGTAACCAACACAATTAATAGAGGAACACAGAGGTTCCAGGCTGTCAAATAGAGTGCTCAATACCGAAAGACAGAGCTAGTTCAAACAATAGTAAGATGACGAAAAAAGGGTTTTTACTCCGAGCTACATGCAGCTAATAGAGCACGGAAAAGCTCACTGCTGCACGGTGCTGGTAGAGCACATGCACACCCAAAAGTACTATTGTAACCTTAGAAATTATTGCCATGGTCTAATTGCTGCGAAATTCGCGACCGCGTGGAAATCGCGAAATTTAGACAGCGCGAAAAGGAGATCCATGAAAGGTTTAGCAAGAATGCCACGGGTTTAGCAAGAATGCCATTCTGCAATCGCAAAATTAAAACCTCGCAAACCCGTCCGGATTCTGAAAACGCGAACTAAAAACGCCGCGAAAATATCACGCTTTACAGTAGTCTTACAAAGGTCGAGTCTGGATAAGAAGAGACTGAATAGCACTAGGTTTTGCTGGTTCATAAATAATAGCTTTCCAGACCACACTGCACTTGACTGCAATGCAACATATAATACATATCGGATAGTGCATACGCACGTGTCTGGTGTGTACACACACACGCACAAACTCGCGTGTGCACGCACACACCATGTACCATGTACGCTCGTCACAAGAGAAGGACGCAGATCTGCAAATGCACTGGATGCCTGCACACATACTCTATCATAAGCGAGCGGGAGCGTGTGCATGTGCGCACACACACACACACACACATACACGCATACACACACAAGGTGGATTGCCGAGGACACAGGACTCCCACACACACATACTCACAGACTGTTTCACAGGGTTGTACTCTGTGACGGTCAAATTGAAATTCTCCACACTCTCCTGGCTGATAATTCGAGTTACCCATGCTACGTAAAGTCCATCGTCACTCAACGCTACACAGAAAACATAACAGTGGTGTAAAGTCAATTCACGCAGAACAGTGAGAACATTCAAATTAAACGCCTGCTGCAAACTCTACGGAAGAATATCTTCCGTTCTCTCCCTTTACTGTCGTCCAATTGCCAATCACAAAAAAGGCAGTACTGCTGTACAAATGATGTATCCATGGTTGCAAGCAATCTTGTCTTAGAATGGCTGGCATCTCCACCAAATATTGGGTTTTTGAATCCACTCGCGATCGAGTTCAATGTTCCTATCATAACATAATGTACTATGACAACAAGCCCGAGCTCCACTTACCTGCCGCTCTCAGCTGCTGATTTCGGCCTTCGGTTGCATACCTAACCAAGACTTCTTCACTTCTGCCGTTGTATACGGTGACCTTAAAAAACGGAGACAGTCAGAGAACGAAAGAATGTGTATGCATTCGAGAGAAGGAACGTGCTCGCAAGAGCTGAGCCGCAGGCACACGTACACGTGTATATGAAGAGGGGGAGAGGGATGCAAAATACATGTAGATCTGTTACGCCATTCAATTTAAAGATTAAATGAAGTAAGCCCTGGCTCACAGACACGATCATAATTATTCTTCAAATCAAGGCTAAAAGAAATAATTTGAAAATACAATGTAGAAATGTATAATAGTATCCAGTTACAGTGATGGAGAGTTACTCTTAACTCGTATCCATATGTCCTTTTCCTTTCTACATTTATTTATGGCTCAACATCCGAGTTTCAAAATACAATGTGATGAGGATTCAGGTACCGAAAAACGATCTTCACACTCCCCCCACCCCCAGCAGTAAGTGTTTGACATACTGGACACGTGGCATCAGAGCACAGTATTCTGTTAGGGATCACTGAACAATGGATGGCACAACGACTTTCTTTCAGAGAAACTCAGCAGTACAGCCAGGCACTGAGTGCGTTCCATTATGCCCGCGAATCGATTCGTGCTATTCACATCACCCCAGGTGCATAGGGTGAATGGATTCCGAATCGATTCCAGGGCTCATGACGTGAACATCGAACGACTTGAATGCATGCGAGTGGATTCATGAATCGATTCAAGTGCATAATCGAACGCACTCACTCAGAGTACATACATGACCATGTCCCTTCACACCTATCTTACCGTCCATTTTGCGTCACTGCCCAAATTTTCCACGTCGGCAAGAAGAACGAGCGAGCCGTCTCTCGACACATCAATGGAAATGGCTTCCGCGGACGTCCGCTTAAATGCCCAAAGAGGTTCTGGGTGTGAACTTGCCAAGTCCCTGGGTTAAAGGATAAGAAAGTTAGAGAGAAAGAAAGAAAAATAGAAGGAAAGAATAGAAAAGCAAGAGGACGGAAAAATCAAAACAATAGCAAGAAGACCTGGGATGCACTGAACAATTCATACCTTATGAGAAGCAAAACAAGAACTGAAGTTTTAGGATCGCAATCAAGAGAACAAGCTGAACGGACACGAACAGAACAGAAGTTTTAGGATCGCAATGAAGAGAATAAGCTGAACGGTCATGTGGCTACTTTATATACTTGTTCTCGTGATGGCCATTGCAAGATTGTTGTCTCCTCGCCGTTTGTTGAAGTTTTAGTTTTAATTAAAAAAGATAGGACCCAAATGATTTTCCTTGGCTTTCCATCCGAGTCTCAAGTTTTAGTGAGCTGCTTTTTTTGTTGTTGTAGCAACTCTTCTTCTACCTAGTGCACACTGTTAAAGCTGCGCTCACAGCGAAAATGTTTCAAATCAGCACTAGTTGAACCACACTGCACAGCACAGGAGTGTACATTCATGTGGTGCAACCACCATCATCAACACACAACCCATAAACGAGTCTGACCACGCAAACACCATCATCAACACACAACCCATAAATGAGTCTCGCCAGGCAAACACCATCATCAACACACAACCCATAAATGAGTCTCACCACGCAAACACCATCATATTTCGATTGTCTGTATTCGACAGCACCCCAGCGCAGATAGTCGAGTTCCGCGACATTGCCACTTGACCTGTGGTTTCGTCGTGCGCCCAATCAGTCACCGACGATTTATTGGCAACTCTCTCACCTGAGCAGAACAAATCAATAAACAAAATAAATGAATATAAATGTTACAGTTGGCATTAGACCGAGTTCTTCACATCCGTATGAGCGCCACCCCCCCCCCCCCCCCCCCCCCAGATCAAAGCGCCAATGCAGCTCGTAACTGAAGTGGAGGGAGGTGAGTGCATCAAAGACCGAAAATAAAAGCGCTGTATCATGTTATCGAATTCCTTAGGTCAGACCCTAGAGCACTACAATCTCGTCTGCATGCTCCCTCGATCCCTCACGACCACATACTCAAGCACCCAAATACGGCTTGTTTACAGGAATTAGTCTAAAAAGGAGCGTCATTACTTTATAATGAACTGTAAACCATGCAATTCCATTACAATCCCATTTAAAAACAAAGAGAGAAAACTATTTGGCACTAGGTGTATCACACTTTTAGCAGTAGAAAGGATTTACACCGGTAAGAACAGATGGCAGAACATGGGTGATGACGTACAACGTAGCACTAAGGTGCAGAACTGAGCAACAGCATGCCTAATAAGTAATTACAAGAGCTGTCGCGCTCTGACCAGAGGCAAAGCCTTCTGCTTGCTTTCCTCGGCAAAACTCACCGCTAATCTTGAAGCTTTCCACCATCTCCGGTGGATTCAGGTCGGTGGCAGCGCCAACATAGCCCTTGAGGGAGATGGCCACGTTGGTGTAAATTGCATTGTCCAAATGCTGATGCCAAAACTCACCTGCAAGCAACAGCACAATCATATTTAAAAGTCATTCAAACTGACCAAGTTTACAATGGACTACTCCATGCTCCGCAGTTTACCATCAGCTCTTCCTAACAAGTTTAAAAATAAAATAAGGCCATGCGGAGTATATCGCGAGACTACTCATTTTAAAAGTTACATGCGCCCTTGACTTAGTCCAAGATCCCCACAACATGCACTCTCCAGTCGAGCTCATTCACCACACCCGCTTACACGACTCCAAGTTATTGTAGATACTGGCATAAATTCCTCCATACAGCTGTTTCAAGCATACAGATCTGATCAGTGAAGGTCGTAGGAATACTGAAAGGCTAGAACTTGTGAATAATTTTCTTTTATACAGAGGAAAACTGTGAAAGTGAAGCAGCGCGAAAGCACGCTTTGAGGCTTTGCGGCTGTTTTTGTCTCTCAAAAAGGCACCATGAAGATGCGCAACAACAGTACCTTTCATTACAAACTCCTTGTGATGACACCTGGCTGTGTGACAATAGCGCGGCATAGTTGCGAGTGAGTGCGAGGAGTGAATGACCGAGAGGCCGCTCGTGCGACTACTTGCAATGCTGCGCTGGAGCCCGAAGTCTGACCTGTCACCCCAAAATTCAGCGCGATATTTCAAAGGGCTAGGATTGTGTGCGCCTACAATACTATATGTATCAATGTCCACATTGCCTTGCGCGTATTACTGCCATCATGCACTTATTTTCCGTGTGTTAGCGCTTACGTCAGCTCAAAGTGCGTAGTCGTGCTACTTCACTTTCACAGTCATTCTCGGCATGAACAGAGTACAGGTCGTCCCCCGTTAATACGAGTCCGGTTAGTACATAAACCCCGTCAGTACATAAGAAATCTCAAGTCCCGGACGAAACGTGGTCACTTCCATACAAATTTTGTCGGTTAGCACATAATTCGTTAGTACATAAACCCCGTTAGTACATAACATTTCTCCGTACCCGCATGCCACCTACCTCAATAGTACATAATTTGTTGGTCTTTCGGCCTTCCAGTGGAGGCACATTGTGTTCTAGTTTCTACTTGTGGACACAATTCGCTCAGAAATCAGAGCGCACATCACAAGCCGACAAAGCTGTTTTTTTTCGAGTGACTGTACAGGCGCGGCTGGGCGCATGTATCATGTAAACTGTAGAATCTTCGCTGACTGTGACCGTTATAACATAATTGTTATGTTATATTGAGGGAATCAAGAATATCTCGCTCCCTAGTCATCGTAGCAAGAAACACTCAGAAAAGTTGAAAAATGTGAAACTTTCTGGTACACAAGCAAGTTATGTACACTTTCGTTTAATATATAAACCCTGTTAATACATAACATTCATCAAGTCCCAGAGATTATGTATTAACGAGGGACGACCTGTATTAGTCACAAGTTCTAGTAGCCATTCAGTATGCTTACAACTTTCACTGCCATGTTGAGATATCTGTATGACCGAAACAGCTGTGAATGGGGTCGTGTGTGTCCCCCAGCCAGGGACCGAGGGATAAGGAGGCAGCACTCCCATTATAAGCCAAAGCACATTTTTAGGATTCTAAGAGCATGAAACAACAGATTAGGTAACTTTGAAAAATCAGAGCATTTCCGAAAAATCTGAACAAGTGCCAGAGCCCTGCACTCACTGGCACCTACAACAATTTGGGAGTCGTGTGGCTGGAATGGTGAACGAGGTCAGCCGGACAGCGCAAATTTTGACTAAATTAAAGGGGAAGTTAAGCCTAAAATCAAATTTTCACCAGTTGTAGTCTTCGGGGTGCTGAGTCGAATGGTCTTGGTCCGAGGAAGCTGAGACACTCCATTCCTCCTTTATTCCCAATCGAACTTGCGCACTTCCACCGAAACTAGGTGACTGCGCCCTACTAGATGGGGATTTGTATGCAAAATGTCACTAAAAGCGCCATCTCGTTATTATAAAAGCACGGATGACCGCGATTGGCCCACGTGTTGTAGTCTTTTGGACGCTGAGTCGACTGGTTTTGGTCCGAGAATGCTGCGATGCAGCGTTCCTCCTTTATTTCCAATCGAACATGATTGAACAAGCGGTCACGTGCTCCTGCGTGCCAAAGTCACCTGGTCACCGCGCCAGCAGGCGACAACTTTCACACCAAGGTTCAACTCGAGTGACAGGAGTGCACCCAAAAAAGATCAAACAGGCTGTAAGTTGTACCCTGCCGGCGCTAGGCTAGGCACGGTGACCAGGTGACTGGTGATACCAGCAAACTTTGGGTCAGACGAGGCTAGAACTTTTGCAGTCTCCTCGGATCCCACAGAGCCGCTAACAAAGGGGTTGAGCACAAAATAGTTGCCTGAGCAGGATCAAATCCATGTGCAGGTCAAACTGAATTTGGGTGCGGCTCGAAGACGAGGACGGACTGATGATGGACCGAGTGATCCAACGGCTGAAGACTAGGTTGGCGAACTGCTATCTTGTACTGTCAGTAGGCTCCATGGCAAAGGAAAATAGTGTGTGATGGAGTGTGAGAAGATCTAGTTAACATGGCGAGATGAGCGAGAGCAGCAAAAACCAAAACTACACACGTGAAAATTTTCAAATAATTATAATCAGCGAGAGCAGCAGAAAACAAAAATACAAACATGAAAAATATTCAAATATGCACTCCCAAACAGGAAAGAGCCGAAAATCCATTTTCGGAAAACCATGCACTTTCGCCACCACACTTCCGAAAGTTCGACTACCGTAAAATCCCGCCAGAGCGCCCCTACCTCCTCGACGCTTCGAGTAGGTTCAGGTGGGGAGGGGCGGATGGGCGAGTCCTACTTGCCGCATTCAGTGCTACATGAAAAGTACTCACCCTACGAAAACTGTTCGTGCATCTCGTACACCGACCAAACTCCAAAGGTCAAGAGCCAGGAGTCGAACAGACCCGACAAAACGCAGGGTTTGTGCGATCCCTGGTCAGGAGGGTGGGCACTGTTGCGTACATTTCCAACGGGGTCGAGCACGCGTCTGCAGTGCAGTACGGCATCACAGACTGCGACAGAGTCATACGAGGATACAATCAATCACGTCCCTGACAAGAAGTCAGGGAGGGGCGGATGGGAGAGACGGGGCGCTCTGGCGGGATTTTACGGTACTTTTTCGACTCCTGCAGCCACATTCCGAAAATAATTTCGAAATTCGGAATGCAAAACCTCTCTATAATTGGAAGAGCATTCCACGGGGGATCGCAGAAAAATTGTGAAAAACTCCAAATCTGACCCCTTTATGGCCAAAGGCTAGGATATCATCTTTTTCTGAATGGACTGTACTCGTAGTGGAGAACAATTATTTGTGCACGAAAAGTATACGGAAGCAGTGAATCACCGGCACCAGAGGCATTTGGCAGCACTTGTGCTCGTCCTTTGGGCTGATACGCAGAGCTGCATACAGTTGTGGCTATGGACTCTTGGTGTATTGCATAATATGATTGTGTACATGTTCGTGTACGTGTTTGTGTACGTTCCGACACAAGGGTAATCTTTTGCTGCAAAGTGACTAGTAGAAGGAAAACGATTTCTTCCGTATAGTTCCTTCACCGAACATTGATAACACTTACCTGAAGCACTCGAGCGCCGCACAGAACTCTTATCTTGCCCAGTGGGGAGCACGAAATGCTTGTCGTTCGAGCCAGGTCGACTTGAACTTCTACCCCACAATCCTTTATGCTGGGCGGCTGAAGCCCCGGCAACACAAGCTACCAGAAGTAGGAAGAACGATTTCACAAGAGCAGGTATGTTCTCCATGGCTATGGACTACAGAAAGACGAGGAATGCAGAAGTCATTGGGAACAGGAGAGTCTCAGGAGGAAACTTGTAGAAGAAATTATTGTTTGAAACATGTGTTTGAAACAGAAAAAACCATGTTGAGCAAGTCACGTGGATCGATTCCCGTACAGATCGGATGTACGTGACTGTCACCAGATCTAAGCAGTACAAAACTGTCAAAAGTCCATTCACTTCAGAATGCATGTGACAGGCTGTAGACCATGGTAGGCCTAGCCCAAATTTGCTCGAGGCATTTCGATATTTTGCCGGCAAATTTTGCCCGAGCATTTTCCATATTTTGCTTGGCATTGCCTTTCGCGTCCGATATTTTGCTTCCATTTTGCTTGCCACGAACAATCAGTCGTGAGTCACCCTGTGCCTCTTTTGGCACCCGCACAGGGCCATTTGTAGGCATGTAACCATTTCTGGCTGTCCTGCAGCTCGCAGTGTGCTCCCCTTTACATACATGTGTCCATTTCTGGCTGTCTAAGCCTGTCCTGCAACTCGCGGGGTGCTCTGCTTGCTCTCCGTTGTATGCATGATTCTGTTTCTGTGGGCATGTATCTGTTTCTGGCTGTGCTGTAGCTACACACATGTCTTATTCTGGCTGTGTGTTGATTCGTGTCGTGTAGGCCCGGCCTGTATGGATCTAATGGTCCTAATGTGGCTTCTTTTTTATTGTTCTATTTTGTTACTGTACAAACACTGACTTATCTCTAGTTCTTCTTCACATCTCTTCCTTTGAGTAGAGATCAGCTTTCTTGTGTGTGACATTACAAAGTAAGGTACAGAAGTTGCCACCACATTGCTCATGCTGTGTGGGAATAATGGCTTCGAATGAACCATCTACTTTGGTGGATCTGGATAGTGACTCTGATGAGGAAAGCGAAACTGCAAGTGGTGTCAGTATAAAGGACTTTGTAGCACGATTTCAAACACCTAAGGCAGCCGACATCTCTCGAAAGCGATCTGTTCCTTCCAATTTGACTACTGGAAACACCGCCAAACGATCTTGTCCTGGACGGTCGGATGCCAAGAGTGCAAGCAATGTGGCAATTAAACCAGAGGAAAGAATCAAGCAATTTCCTGGTGAACTTTTGATTGTGGACCTTGGCAAGCTGTTTTGCTCATGTTGCCGTGAAGAGCTTCCTACCAAGAAAAGCTCTATTAATGCACATGTTAGGTCTGTGAAGCATCTAAATGCTAAGAAAAAGAGGGAAACAGCGAGTGGGGAGGTGCCTACCATGACGGAACACCTTCGCAGTTACGTTGGGCGCTATCACCCGGTTGGTGAAAACCTGCCTGAAGCCACGCGGCTGTATCGGTTGAGGGTAACACACTGTTTGCTTGAGGCCGGCATTCCCATCTCGAAGGTCAGTGGGGATTTCAGAGCCCTGTTGGAGGAGGGGGGCCTGCGGCTCACATCTGCCAGCCACCTCAGGGAGTGTATCCCAATAATACACGAGATGTTTACCAAGGACCTCACCAAGGAGCTCCAGGGGATGCCCATCTCAATTGTGTTTGATGGCTCCACCAGACTGGGAGAAGCATTTGCCCTGGTGATACGCTATGTGAACGATGACCTTCGCATTAGCCAAAGGCTGGCATGCCTTAAATGTGTAGCGAAGTCAATGACAGGGGACGATGTCAGTGGCCTGCTCATTGATATACTCATGGAGAGCCTCCGTGTTTCTCGCCATAACCTGATTGCTGCAATGCGGGACGGTGCCTCGGTTAATGGAGTCGCGATGAGGAACCTACAGCAGATTTTTCCATCCATGATCGACGTAACCTGCTTCAGTCATACCCTCGACCGTGTCGGCGAAAACTTCAAGATGCCCAATGCCCTGGAATTTGTAAACGCATGGATTTCCTTGTTTGCTCATTCCTTTAAAGCCCGCTTGGCGTTTAAAGAGAAAACAGGAGTGAGTCCAAAGTTGCTGTCGAAGACCAGGTGGTGGTCCCGTTGGGAAGTGATCAAGCAAATTGTCGACCTCTTCCCCGATGTTCATGGATTCATCGCCAATCAGACCGAACTGTCTCCTGCCACAGTTCGCAAGTTGCTTGCCATGCTCAACAACCCACAGATAAGAACTCTCATCCAGGTCGAAATGGCTGCTGTTGTCGATGCTGGAGAGGTGTTCGTGAAGTCCACCTACACATTGGAAGGGGATGGCCCATTGGCGCTCATCGCCTATGAGGTTATCAAGGGCGTGCAGTCAACAGTGGAGACAAACCATTTCCCACAGTTGTCCGCCTTGTGTCAGCGGCTTTACCCTGATAGTGCTGAACATCAGCAGCAACTGAAAGCCATCGGTGTTCAATGCGTTCAACCTGGATTTGACCACTTCCGCAAGAAGTTTGTTGGTGAGCCTACGAATCCTGCCCAATTCCAGGAACAGGTGCAGTTCTTCAAGCTGGCCAGTTTCTTCCATCCTCATACCATGGCAGACAAGCAGCCAATGGCAGAAGAGTTCCAGGCTGCTATGGCTGGCCAGCCCACATTTGTTGCACTTGCAGGTGGTATTGTCCAAGAGGTCCCATTATACGCAGCTGCCGTTCAAGACCTGGCAGAAGCGGTTAAACCTCTGCATTGGTGGAGACGGCATATGGAAGAATTCCCCAGCCTCATCCAGGCACTTAAGCGCATTCTACTTGTCCAGCCGTCAAGTGCCGCCAGTGAAAGGGTCTTCTCCTTGTTGAATCAACTCTTCAGTAGTCGCCAAGAGAGCTCGCTCGATGTGCTGATGGCATGTTGGGGCATCAGAGCAAATCCTAGTGGCTGCATGGTGCCATTGGGTACTTTGAAACTGGCTTATCCAAATCAATGCAGGGGTATAAGCTAAGTGACAGTCCTCCCGGTGTTGAGCGCTCTAAGTCATTCAGGGTGATATCAAGAGCACAATGACATGTCTCCAGCCCTCAGTTACGTACTCTTGGTGATAATCACCCTGACAACATTTCTGTGGCAGTTATTGCCGGCAAGATCGGCCTAAAAAAACAAATAAATCAGGATAAAACTGCCAAAAACACACCCGGATCCTCTAAAAATTCGATATTTTGCTCGGAATTTGCCAGCAATTCTTTTCATGGGAAATGTCGATATTTTGCTGAAAGAATTGCCGGCAAATTTGGGCTAGGCCTAGACCATGGACTGGTAGACCTGTCTACCCTAGCTAGTGACAGTAGTGTAGGCCTTCTAGTTGTAGGCTTAGTGATCTATGCTTGCTTCCAAGTGAAGTTTTGTCCAAATGAATGGCCCAAGGCAAAGGGTCCATTATTTTGACCGTTTCAAATAATTGTTTTTGTCATGCAGCATGGATCATGGAGTGCTCCAACCATAATAATTATGTTTGTCTATTTCTCCAAAAAGTGGACAAAGTAGTTTTTTTCGGCCAGGTCCGGCAATGAAATGTGTCAACTCAAGCCAAGGGTCATAATCATCATGCACAGCCAGCCAGGCTTACCGTACAAAGTAGGTCCGACACCGTACTGTACTAGTAGATCTACATGTAGCACTGTACGCGGCGAAGTTAGGTCTTGGACTTGTTGGATGCAAATGATTTTCTTACTCAGTACTGCACAGTCGACCGGCCTCAATCATCCCGCAAGCAAACACGGGGCAGTCCGCTGTGTATTCTTACCCAGGCTTACTGCTTGTTCCACGATTCAGGACTGGCTAGCCCCTCTCAGTAACAGACTCAGATCCACGACTGACACAGAACTTAGCCGAAGTACCGCCACATTGTACATACATGTAGTATTGCAGGCGCTAGACCCGCAGCGGAACACACATAACACATAACAGCAGCTGCGCCATAATTGTTCATGTCCAAATCGCACAGTAAAATCCCATCTGCATCGAACTCACGATGACAGCATTGAGGATGACAGTTCACAGTACAGAACGCGATCGTAGGCAACATGGGACCGTGAGGGCATTGCCAATAATCTGTACAGAACATGTATCTAGTAGATCCGAAATCACGACACAACACTGCTCATGCACATTTATCTGGCATGGTACGAAGCAGGAGAAGAAAAAGTTGATATCCGACTCTGAATAGTCTTCAGAGCACGCCACTAGATAAGATAAGATTGCATGAAGATAAAAATCCTTGAAGAATAAATGTGGTTATCTTTGAGGCGGCAGCCTTCGATTTGATGACCCACTTGTGCCGCATGAACTACAGCGATACTGAGTTGGCTTGAGCCGGGGTGATGCGCACTAGGACAGCTTCATGCGACAGGACCTGTCATGCAGCAAACAATAACCCAGCAGGCAAAACAATTAACTTTGAAGGACTGAGATACTGCGGAGGAGCAGACAAGGGAGACATTGATCTATTTATTTGTATTCACCTTCCCATGAACAGGAAATAGAGACCGGAATACACTGAGTCGAAAGGGCGATAGTCATGCAACCATGGCAGCAAAGAAAAGCAACAAGAAAGAAGAGTGCAATAGGCAATGGCCTATGCCAGAGTCGTAAAGCTAATATTCATCCGGTCGATGTCACTAATTTTTATGGATCTCTCCTCTCACCATAGGCCCTCTCTATTCTATAAAATTACACATCGCGAGATGTAATACAGTAAAATAAAGGCATTCGAAAATGGTCCGCCTGGACATACGCTTTACTCAAAGTGCTTCTCGGGTCAGACCTACCAAAAGCTCATCAGCGTGTCCTCTCCGCTGTCAGACTCGATTACAGTGTAGAACTTTGGGGTAAAGAGATTAAGTCTTGTACACTCATATCTCTCTTATCCGGACCTCCAATTTATGGGCACCTCGGTCTACCGGCCACCCAGTGCGTGAGTGTTAGTGGAAATAGTAGCACTAGTCTACTCTCTTGCCTTTGCAATGCAGTGCAATTGCCAATTTGTGGTGTGGCTGTTAGCCCACAACATAGTGGATATAATGAAGCTGCAAGAACTGCTGGAGCGCCCAAACTCCTCCTGCCTCTATTTGTGGAAATCATGTGACGTCATACGCCAGGTCCTTTGCCATCAAAAAAAATAATATTCTGTGATTCAGAGTTAGGGACATTTCCAAATAATGGGTAGTGCCCGGTCATGGACTGCCCGGGTAAGAACATTATCAGTGTACTAAGGTTTGGGGGCTCAAATTTTAAAAGTATTCACTTTATCTGAATAAAAAAACTCAAGCATCGGCAGTGTACAAACTGTTTGCAATGGGACACAGACCGGGGAAAATGGCCAACAAGCAAGAGCTTACCGGTGAGCTGAAAGAGCCCGTGAAAGACCCCACGTCCTTTGCCTCCCACAGGTCTCGAACTGTGGCCTTGGCATCTGCCCGCACAAAACGAATACATTTCCAAAGCATGGTATCACAATCTAATCTACATGACATTGATAACATGCATGGTGATACGCACACACTAGTATCCTGCCGGAGAGGAATTGTTCCAGTACAAGCAGACGTGTGCTGGGAGCTGAGCCAATTTAATTATAGTGCCCATATACGGGCTGTATTTTTTATTATTCGGCAAGGAGTGTATTTGCTGACAAAATAAACTGCACAGTTCTCCTCACTGAACTTGTATCATAATAAACAATTCAAGTCATATAACATACACAACACAATACATTATCTACTTCAAAAATAATGATGAGGCCCAGATTTCAAAAATACCGCCGGTGAGCCCAGATTTCTCAAGCATAAAATACTATATTCAACTTTCGAGGTGTGTTCCCAAATAGCTCAGTGACCTGAGTGACATGAAGCATGATTGGTTTTCCATGTACATGTACAGTAGAGGTATAGACAGTCAAACCTCTTTAGGACGAACACCAAGGGACCAATGATATTTGTTCGCAATAACGGGAGTTCTTCTTATCCGTATGATATTCCTAATGAATACACAGTGATTTATCCAATGGAGTTAGGAATACTAGTTCTTCTTAAGCAAACATTTTTCTTATCCGTGTTCTTCCTAAAGAGGTTTCACTGTACACAGACGTGATATACTTACAGTCCATTCATCCATGATAGATCCGCTGGCTTTCGAAAGCCCAATTCTGGCCGAGCCGAGGCTCAAAATTCACAACTTTTGATGAAAAATATGGGTTTTGGATCTCCTTCTCCATGCAATTCATCATGGCATAACAGTCCAGATTTCATGAAACCTGGCTGAACTTTCAATTCACTATTTTTGCAAGGACATCACCGGCCTCAAATGTGGCAAGGAAGAATTGCCAGGCTCACATGATGTAACACACTGTGCACACACAGTGAGTAAAACCCCTCAATAGACTCACCGTTTGGCATTGAGATCATATCCCAAGTGACAATTATGTTGGTTGTTTCGTTACCGCGGTTGAGCAGTGCCACGGCCACACTCTTGTCCGTCATATTCCTGGCCCACACCTACACAGAGATATACACCGAGACAAAGAGCTTTGTCCCCAATAACTCGTATGCGCAGGTAAGCACTGTGGGTTGGTCAAAGACCATGATCGAGAAACAAGAGGTACCAGATTCAAGCTTTGCTTGGAAGCGGAGTTGATTTTTCCAGCCATGCTACGTCCCGAAGCCAATCGGAAGCTTGTGGCTTTGCAGAAGAGGTACAAGTGATGCGGCAAATGAAGTTCCTCGGGAGCTTGTGGCTTTGCAGAAGAGGTACAAGTGATGCGGCAAATGAAGTTCCTCGGGAGCTTGTGGCTTTGCAGAAGAGGTACAAGTGATGCGGCAAATGAAGTTCGGCACCATTCAGGGGTAAATATAGTCCTTTCACATCCACAGCATAGATGCCAGAGTAGCCACTTGAACTATCACTGGATGACAGCATTCCAGCATTATGAACAGTGCATGACATGACAACCTTATCATTCTAACTGCATCAGAGACGCCAACAACGAAGGCCGGTCAAGACAGAACTAAAGGAACATACGAAATACGATCACATCTGCTGCGTGGAGAATAGATTTTTGAATTTCGATCGTAATTTACTCAAATTCTACTGTTGTGACAAGTACCCATGACATCATCCTAGTCATAATCCGGCATGCATGCTGCATAATTACCTCGCCGCCTGTCGAATTGGCAGGTGATACACGGATGCCTTGCTTTCCCAGAGTGTCCTTGTTGATCGCCACCACTTCGGGCGCTGTAAGAATGGCCACGGTCTAAACAGGTACAGGACAGTGCACAGGCGGGGTATGCATCGGACATTCAGCGGCTTGGTATTTTGAAAATTTAACATCAACATGCACTTTTGCACATGTGCAAGTTCTGAAACAGCAGGCCAGAACTTCTCTGGTTAGGGTGTGCGCTTAGCAGACCCAGTGCTGTGCATCGTGACGCTTGGACTGAATGATGCTCTGGTCCAAAACGTTCAATCTTATACGCAGCTTCCATTCCGTGACAGCAGCAATTAATTATTTTGAAGGTTCGGTATCATATGCATACTAGCACAGTGCTGCTCAACGAAATCGGATCGTGTGAATTGTGCTGGCGCCCTGCACCAGTGCACTGCCCAGTGTTCACAGGTCAAGGGCGGCACAATGCCAAGCGCACACATGCCTCGCACGATCGAATTTCCTTGAGCAGTATTGTACCTATCACTGTATTGAACTGAACTCACGGGATAAAAATTAATTTGAAAAATTAGATATTGACATAGATTTCACTACTTGAAACACTTCCATGTCTCTACTATACTACGGCACCTTTTTAAAAGTGGAGCTGATTTTAAATTTGCCATGTGATGTTGGCAAATCAGCATTGACTTGAGCTTAAAGTAATGTTGTTTTAAAATGGTAGGAGACATTTTCAGTATCAGCACCTGATTACCTCATTTGACATGCCGAGGACGTCATTACCAGCCAGCAGTGGTGCCATGATGATATTCCACAGAGAGAAATGAGCTTTGGCTTCGGTCAGTGACACACCGGAATTGCCAACCTGTGCATGAAGTGAAGACGGGTTAGCCACACCGTATTTGGTTTTCAGAAGCCCTGAAGCTCCGATACTCGCATACACAAGATAAGCATGAACCAGACATGCGCCTGATGCCATGGTTATCAATAACAACCAAGCAAGTGGTGTCTGAAAAACATTTCACAATCGAGAAGGTCAAAGCAGTTATTCTCGGTCAATGAACACGACCCCATCTCAGATGGATTGACAATATTAAAAATGATCTAAAGCACACCAATATTGATATTTCTGACTGTTTTGAACTGGCTCTAGACAAGAAAGAATGGCTGATGCTTGTGGAAAATGTGCTGCGCTTGCGTAGTTGTTCTTACTGCGATACGTTCTAACAAAAATGAGATGCCTTTTGTCGGCTCTTCTGCCTGGATTTCGTTGACAGATGCGTTAAGCCCATGGATCCTTCCATGAGTGACATGCGAAGTGTAACTATTATTATTATTATTATTATTATTATTATGAACACAAGTAGCGGCTGGAGGTGATGGGATACGTGCTGAGATCATCCATGGTTATTGGGGCCTATGTAATTATACAAGCCCTGCACGAAACAGAACGTAAGCTGGTTATGGTGGAAATGGTGGAGTGAGTTGCAATTGCATATTTTCAGGCGTTCATTGGCACCTCAAAGGGGTTTGAAGAGTGCGCACACAATCGGCAGGCTCATCAGCTTGTTCATGAGATTCTATACTGCAAGTCCACATTCAGGTTACGTTTGGTTGGTCCCATTCCCAAATGGGAATCACTTGGAATCACTCGGAATCATTCTCGCCCGTTTGGTTGGTCAAAAAAGTGCGTTAGGTTAGTCCCATTCTTACAATAATGAGATGCCTTTTGTCGGCTCTTCTGCCTGGATTTCGTTGACAGATGCGTTAAGCCCATGGATCCTTCCATGAGTGACATGCGAGCTGTAACTATTATATTATTATTATTATTATTCCAGAATGGGAATCGCTGAGAATGATTCTATTTGGAGAATGATCATTCCACCTCACATGCTGGAATGAGCATTCTCATTCCGGAATCAAAAATGATAATGGTTGCCAAGAGCCAAACAATGTAGCATCAGGTTCAAGTGCCTCAAATCATGCACTCAGAAGTACCTTGACTCTCTCAAGGAAACTAGATTTGGGTAAAAGAGAAGAGAGCCGCCATTCCACAACGACATCATGGAATTGTTATGTCAAGTGATTCCTAGTTGATTCTGGCGCGTTTGTTTGGTCAGGTGATTCTTACCCATTCCCATTCCAGAATGGTTATCATTTACATTCTGGAAATGCCCAACCAAACACAACCTTAGCAGGTCCATGCATGCCGGGTCGCACCAACACGGTCTCTTTTTATGTAAAGACTACCTCCACTACTGTACCATGGAGGGCCAAAGAGCGAGGCGCCGAAGAATGAAGAGGATCAAATTTACCAGGTACAGGATGCCTATTATGTACAAGCTGGCTCAGATATATAGAGATTTCTACTGGAAAAAATGATATCGTCCTAGGACTAAAATGTTCTTTGGCATCAAACAGTACTCTAGCACTCATACCTGGAGCATATCCGGATCGTTGTAGTGGCCAGGCGTAGCCACTGATGCCATCACGTTGTTGCTATCCAGGTTACCCATGATTGATTTCCAGTTGGACTGCAGGTGACAGTTGAGGGGAAAGCAAACACAGTACATGTACAACTTTTGTCCAAGGACAAACAGCACACTGGATCCATGTGCACTGTCTGTGAAATAGCCTATGAAGACTGTTTACTGAAGTTCTACTAGCTCTCAGTGAAAAATAGTGACATTGACAATGAAAAATTACACTTTGTAAGCAAGCATAATGCAGGTCAGGAAAATCTAGTGGAACACAGCGCCATTTGCAGCTTACATCTCCATATGCTGAAGGGCAAAGTCATCTCCCGCCGTGCAAAATTGCAAAGCATAATGTGCAATGTACCTTTGGGATCATTCAAGGTCAATTTGGTTAGTATCCGGGCAAATTCTTCTAAGTTAAAATCTAACTAAAATGGTTCTAGCAAAGGATACGAGCATACGAGTGTGAGTTCGACTTGAGAACAATGTCCATGATAAGTGAGACGTTCCAACCTGAATATCTCCACACGTCCGCCAAAGGTTGGCCTCCTTTGCAATCCAGCTGCCACATCCCGTCACGTCATGGCACGATTCCACACTACCGGTGTGTGACGGCATCATGAAGAAGGCACAGAGAAGCACAAGCACATAAAACTCCAGGCATAGAAAATGCCTGGCAAATTTACCACGCTGTCCACATGAAATCATTCTGAAGGTCAATCCTACTGGAATGCGGATTGCCAAGCCACAGCTATATTTTTGTTAGTTCTTCCACACTGCAGATAGAATGGACGACGTGTTGTGAATCTGAGTTTAATCCATAGGTGATATCTCACGGATATCTAGTGCTACCTCACCTCATAACTATCTGCTTTCCAGTCTGCTGCTTGCACTTGTCAAAGCCTTGCTTGAACAGAATCCAGCTGTCGTTCAGGTGCGGGTTGGTGTGTCCGCCGCAGTGGTCGATCTACGCAAAGAATTTACACACAAAATGCAACTTCCCATTGCATTTCTTGCAGTATTCTGCCATGTGAAAATAGAAGGTGGACACAAATAATATCGACCCATTTGCCAAAGTATACCAAACAGAAATCCGTGACGGGCTTTCAGTGCTCCTCTGTACCTCCTTGCAGCTGAAAGGTGCCCGAGGGCATAGGACAGCTACATTAGTTCTACAATCTGTAAGAAAGTGCCTTGCTACAGTGCTATTCCAGCAACATAGCTGGTTCCCCTTTCAGGGGGTGCACGGCCGCATATGTGTAGAATGAGGGAGAGTGGAGAACCAGGTGTCAGGATGGAGTCTACAGCGTGGTATGCTCTGTGTACAACCTGCCGTGAAACCACTCCTGTGTATGGTCTGCACACGCCGTTTCAGCCGCCCTCAAGACATCGCTAGACATAGTTGCACCTCCCGTCGCTCCACAAAAGTAAAAAACAAACAGTGAAACAGCCGTTCACGTCCCGCCGGACTCGCAGGGCCTCATGCCCCGTCCCGAAAACAGCACTCCTTCAAGTTGCCCCGTTTGGGGACACTCATCGGCATAGCCAATCGTGGCAGTGGGCGAAGGAAGGAAGGATGTGTAGGATAGCTGGTGCATGTCATTCATGGTCATTATGTGCATGCTGAACCTAGGTTGAAATTTTTAGGGGGGGGGGAGCACAGTCATGCCCCCCCCCCTCCCCCGTCCCCCTCCCCCCCCCCCCCCTGTGCCCCATGCGGGCTACTCACCTATACTCACACTCACCTTCAGGTAGTCAATTCCCCACTCACAGTATGTAGCAGCGTCCTGCAGCTCATGGGTCCAGGAGCCAGGCCTTTTCTGCACACACACATCGTAAGAATGGTGCAACAAAAGACGAAACAAGCTTACGGTGGACCTGCCACACAGGATAGTGAGAACTAACAACCTGCTTGTTGAGTGGAGTAGGTCTGTATTTCTTCAATGTGATCAGCAAAGGTTTCGGCCTGTGCACACTGAGTCTGAATCGAGGAAACATTTCTACGGCTTCCTCTATTCCTTCTGAAGAGTCTTCTTACACTGACTTGAAAGATTCTCCTAATGTAAATGGATATTTATAGGGGCTAGTGTCATGGATCGGTGAACCAAAGAAGACAAAATGAAGCATGAAAGGAAGGAGAAGGGAAATAGGGAAATACCGGAAGTACGAGATTCATTATATTGAGCTCAAGATGCTGTGTGGATAGTTGGAGGAAAGTGAAAAAGGAAGAGTAGGTATGAAGAACACGATCGACTGCCACCCACACACACGATGATTTGAGCCAGGGATTTTCAATGGCAGTAACTAGACTGACTGACTGACTCCCTTCAAGACTAGTTAGTGTGCCTATGCAATAAATATTAGTGGATGAATTACCTGACAAGTGAACTCTGCCTGGGCAGTGTACAGACCAAACTTCAAGCCCTGCCGACACACAAAACCACAGAGAAAGCGTACCAAACTGGCATGGGAATTCAGTTAGAATTGCAGTTTCAGCCAGCACCGCCCCCCCCCCCCCCCCCCCCCCGACACACACACCTTCACCAACTAGGCTGCCATGAGAAGGAATACAGCAGGTGTGCAGGGCTAGCACTTTGTGTACATTTTGATGCTGACTCTGTGCTGGACCCTGTCGGACGATTGACCCCAGTTACAGATTTAAAAAAACTGGACACAAAGCATGTGCTCACTCTTCCAACAGTCAACGTGCGTAGCTTGGGGGGGGGGGGGGAAAGATCATCAAAACAGACAGTAGATGAAAAAAAGTTCAATCCCTCAAACTTCTGAAAAAATTGAGAAGTCAAAAATGTCAGGGCTGACTGTCGCCTTATGACACACTCACCTTTGAATGTACATAGTCAGCCAGAGCCTTCATCCCTGATGGAAAACGCACTGGATCAGGCACAATGTTACCATCGTCATCTCGCTGCACTTGCCAGCAGTCATCAATGTTTACATACTGGGAATAAGAGGCAGACACCAGTACAGCCACTCTATAGGTTGCTTAACAGAGGGAAGGTATCATGAGAAGGAAACAAGGGCGGTCCACAATAGACAACCTTGCTATGCAGAGACTCTTATACACGCATTTCTAGGGCAACCTGATTCATTTCTCACCTGGTATCCTGCCGCAGCCAATCCTTTCTCAACGAACGCATCTGCCGTCTTCATGACGATCCTCTCGTCAATATTGCAATGGTAGAAGTTCCAGCTGTACACCAATAATCATGCAAAGAGTGGTGAATCAAAAGCAAATATTAGATACCGGTAGTCACCTCTTGGGAGTGTTTGTTTGGTGAATTTTGAGTCGCGGGCTATCACCCCTACCCCACCCCTAACATAACCCAATACATGTAATTTGCCAGTGAAGGTGTCCATTACTGTAAATAGACAAATTTTCGGCAGCTATTTAATTTCGGCTATATTCGGCATCGACTCAAAACGCCTAAATTAAAACGCCGATGAAATTTAATTTTTCACAGCATCTGTCGCACTATACCATGCCCTCTACCCCACGCCGAAAATAAATCGCCGCCGAAATGTCAAAAATCGTGAAGTGCCGAAATTTTGCAGCGCCGAAATTTTGTATATTTACAGTACTATATTTTGATGGTCTGAGTTGCACATTGTTTACATAGAAATCAAGCCAGCCGCCCTGCGGCACATGCAGCAAACAACTCCATAAAAAACTAAGAACTGGAGTGTGGCATTCAGCCTCAATTACTGCAGGTGTGGGGTGGGGGAAGGTCTGAGGGTGATGTATAGCCCGTACGGTTCTGCCTTAGGAAATAAGCTGCCTTGCCATCGTTGCTGGTGATCCGTTGCGACGTTTCTATACGTCATGTACTGGCATGCATGTGTACAATTTACTGCGTTCGAACAGGGACACTGTGCACACAGATCCCATCTGTGCTGGCTTCTAGCATGCACACACCATCCACCACAATGTTACAATGGCATGCATACACCGTCTGCTACTATTCTACAATCATACTAGCCCAAAATTCGAGATTCTAAAGCCACCTGGGACACAATCACAGCAGGAATAAATGCAAACAATGTCCAATACAACCAATCTGACCGCATCTCTCTTCAGAACTCTTACCTATTGAAACCCATAGGAGGCGTAGTCAGATCCTCGGTTTCCGTGTAGGTAGGACTTGTTTTGTGAACGTCCTGTTCTCTCAGTGCCTGTTCCTCTTGCCAAGAAACAACCTCTTTGATGAATGGCGTTGCTGGAAGTTGAGCATTATTGAAGAGAGCACATCCAGGGAAGTTGCTGATGTCTAAGCGGACAAATTTGATCTGAAGCAGAAAGCCAAAACAAGTAAAATTAAAAGTGAGTCAGCATGTGAACAGCATGCATGCACTTGTTAGCCCACAGGCCTATGAACTTACAGCCACCTATTTGGCACTAGAAAACTACAGACTCTTCGCTATGCACTAATCTATTGTCAGCACTAGGCAAGCATTGCATGCAACAATCTCAGGAAATACAACAAATAGTTTTAAAAAAATGACAAGGATCTCATTCATGCGACAAGTAGCATAAACTGGCCACCTACGTAACTAGTGAACAGATGGATACCTGCTCCTGATTGAATGATGATGATTAATGCGCAGAAAATACGAGGGAATGCGCCGCATGTATCCTACATACTTCAGTAGACCCAGTGTCTGCCCCAGCGCCGGGTGAGCCGGGTAATCTACCCAGTTGGGCGGCGCTTGGACCCGGTTGAAAATATAGTACCGGGTCACCTGTGACCCGGTTGGTACTTTACACTTTCGAACTTTGAAAGGACTGACTACATGGCTTGTATGTGTCAGATACTTCTTCTTTCGTAATTTTCTAATTCCTGTCCTCTCTTTTCTAAACGCGGCTTATCCATTCGCCTTTATATCATTGGGCCTAGTTCCCGTTTATTGTCCGAATTAAAATAAACCAACCAACCAGTTGAAGCATATGACTCGGCTGGTGAGACAGCGCCAGGTCCATGTGTACCCGGCTCCGACCCGGTTGAAATGGTTGCGCCAGGTACACGTGTACCCGGCTGTCCTACAATCCTAGAGCAGACACTGAGACCTGGATGAGAGGTTTTTGTTTTGTACGACCTGCAGAGTCTTGAAGTTGATTGTTCCAACTAGGAACACACGCTTCTTGCGGAACTTGACTGACTCACGACTGCTATCCGGAGCACACGAGGAGCACGTCGCACCTTCCACTCGGCAAACCTGCAAGAAAGCACCACTCCCTGCTCAATACATAGTGTGTTCCTAGTTGGAACAATCAACTTCATGACTATTACCGCCGAAGTCGCAACTTCTAAGTTCTGCAGAGTCTTGCAACTGTATAATGCTTTCTTCAAACACGGCGATTTCCCTGCCTGTACACTCACCACCTTTCCAGCGGGAGCGATAAGCTCAACACTCGAGGTGCCCAGCTTCGGCTCAGCTTTCATCCACGTTACGTTGTCAGCAGAAATCTGCACCCGCCATCGCGGGGAAAAAGGACATAATACATGAAACAGTAGCAGCAGCAACGTCTAGGAGATACAGTGGAACTCAGTTAGTATGTACATAATTATACATACCGAAGGATGTACCCAGAGTGCTGACAGTGCTCAACACGACAAAGGCAGAGCGTAATACACAACAGAACAACAAGGACAATCAAGGCTTGTTTGCTGCTACTTTAAGTTTCATGCTCACGCAATCATCAGGGAACAACCTGATGATTGCGTGAGCATGATAAGAAGCACCTCTGATACTAAGAGCACTTTCTTGCTGCTCATGGGGACACACACATCTTACCAGAGTTCTATTCCATTCGTTTATCTCATGATCACATGCAAACAGCACAAGTAAGAGGATGTTTCAACAATGTCCAACTATTTTCGAAGCACTCGCAGACTCCACTGCAGCTGTATACACATCGGGGTACCTCCATTCAAACACTCAAAACACACGGTCTCTTTGCTGCATACTGTAAGACCAGTAATGTTAACGAGCACTTTAGTAATTCTAACAAGTTTACGAATTTGAAAGAATCGTTAACATTTAAGTCGTTATGTGCAAAACGATATGTACATGTACAGTCATTTGCCAGTTTTGAGACGGAATTCGTTAGAATTTAACCTCGTTAACCCACAAAAGTCCAAAGATCGTTAACTTTAATTGACGTCAAATATCTGGTCTTGCAGTGCATCACTTTAAGTGTTCAGCAAGTTATCGTGCCTGGTCCATCCACCACCAGGCAAAATACACTATCTCTCCGGGCATCATTTCAGGGGTGTAATGGAATTGCATGATTTGCAGTTCATTATAAAGTAATCAATCTTCTCCTTCGATCTTGTTCAAATAATTCTCTAAATGTACTGATGTTTTGACATCATAGTTTTTCGAAAAATTCAAATAATTTAGTTATCATATGTTGACTCGCTGATCAGAGCATGATCATGTGATCTGATCATGCTGTGCGCCATTTTTGCTATGGTTCTTTGATGCGCGTGAGGGCATGAACCTCGCGGCATCAGGCTGGATTTTGTGGATCTTTTTACTCTCCTTTTAGACTAATTCCTGTAAACAAGCCGTATTTGGGGTCTTGAGTGTGTGGTCGTGAGGGATCGAGGGAGCCTACAGACGAAATTGGTAGTGCTCTAGGGTCCGACCTAAAGTAGAAAGGAATTCGATTACAGATTTGGTACCGAAACCCACGTGGATGCCCCGGAAAAGTCGTCGTGGTCGTGGAAATACAGTCCAAAAACAGCAACGTGGTAGTGCTGGTTGTGAGCAGACTGATCAAAGTTCGAGTGTCAGTGCTGTCAGTGTGACAAATTTGGACGTCGCGGACGATAAAGGAACTGTTGCGCGTGCTGGTGAACACCTTGTATGCACCATGTCCTCCAAATTTGATTCGTATTAGAAACAGTATCGTGGAGCTCGCGATGACTTTGATGTCTTTTGGAGAAAGTTTACGGTGGCTGCTCAACTTCAACAATGGACAACAGAGGAAAAGCGAATGGCACAACTTCCGTTATTCTCGGATGGAGATGCCTTTTTAGTGTGGGATCAGCTCTCTGATGAGGATAAGAAAAAAGAGAACAGTGTGAAACAACGGCTGCGTGATGCCTTCACGCTGTCGACAGGCCAGGCGTATGGCCAGTTTGTTACGCGCACCCTTGGTCGATCCGAGAGTGTGGATGCATATGCTGCGGATCTGCGCCGGTTGTTGATCGCAGCCGGACATAAAGTCGAAGCGGACGGCAAGTCACCCATGCTCATCGAGCAGTTCAAAAGGGGCTTGCCGTCGACGGAAGCCAACCAATTGACATCAAATGGTGACACGTCATCAATTGGAGCCTGCGTGGCATATGTTCGTCGCCTGCGCACTTCGGTGTCGCACATGTCGGGTGGTGTGTCAGCCGTAGCAGCGTCTTCGGTGAAGTCGTCATCCTCATCCAGCGGGCGAGGACGATCCAGTTCAGTGCTGTGCTTCGAGTGTCATGAAGTCGGGCATATTTCACGGAACTGCCGAGTAAAGTTAAGAAACGACGAGATGGTGCTAGCGGTAACTCAGGTTGGCGTCCGATCTGTCACTTTTGCGATGCGGAGGGACACCTCAAGAAAGATTGTCCCGAGAGAGAAGCGTGGAAGAGGTCCCGCAGTAGTAAGACGTCAGCATCTGCTGCTGCTCCAGTTTCTGGTGAATCCGTTCATCACGTTCTATGTGTGCCATCGACAAATGTTCGTCTGCCTCGCGTGTACATGGTGTACGTCGATGCAAAATTGCCTGGCGGGGAGGAACATCGTGCTGTTGCAGTGGTAGACACGGGATCCTCCCAAACGTTGCTGTCTGCCCAGTTGGCTAAGGCCTTGCACTGCCAGCTGACCCCCTCCAATGCGCAGATTTCTGCAGTCGATGGACGGCCATTGCCAGTCTTGGGCGCTACCAGAGTCACACTATCACGACAAGACTCGGCGAATGTTGTGCTGCCGCAGACAGAGGTGGAGGCGCTCGTTGGGGCAGATCTCAAGTCAGTGTGTGCAGATGTACTAATTGGCTTGACCCTGATATCAGCTGTGGGTGAGGTTCGCGTACGCTACGATGGCGATGATCTGGCGTCAGTGGTCTTTACAGCTGCTGAACCTGTCTGTGCTGCCTGTGGGAGAACTGGAGCTATCTAGTCTCTCTATCACCCCTCTTCACCCAACACAACACACCAGCGCAAACGGCAGCCTCTTGGTGGAAATGTATGAATCACGAAAAATGCAAGTTGGAAAAGGAGAGAGAACAAGAAAAGAACAACAAGAACACAAAATCACGAGCACTTCAGCCAGGAAAAGACACGTCTAAAACATGGCGTCCAACATGGCGGCAGAGCAACCGATAGAGGCCCGTCGTGGCTGAAGCTGCTATTGCAGCGACAGCCATCACGGCCACCATTGAATGCAGAAAATAGATCAGAAAACGAAGTCGAGCAACAGCAACTCGAACGAAGCAAAGAAAACAACAAGACTACGCGCAGCAAGCAAAGGCATAGCGATGACATCATTAGTCACGCGTGAACACAGAATCTAGCATGCGCATGCAGCCTTGCAGGCGCTGGCGAAATAAATAATGAAGTCAAGACACAAATAAATAACACAACGATCGACGAGCGATCGTTGCAGGAAAACAATTACAATTCAAATATACTACTTCAAGGAAAGATGAGAAGTGAAACGACTAGCACTAGAAGAAATAGAATAGAATATAGAACAAGGACAATGGAAGCGGACTACGGATGAAGCTACAATGAGGTAAGAGGCATGACACACTGATGACAGATGTCACCACAACAAATACATAATCGTAATGTTTGTCTACACACACATTGTATCGTCACACTTCACACATTGTCATATTGTCACACCTCCCCCTGGTGACATCACGTCAACAGTTAACTACGGTAACGAACAGGAGGAACGAGACCAGCACGGTTGCGAAGACGATGACCACCAACTTGAAGTGGTTGGGCTGGCACATCAGAATCAGAATCACTAGTACTTGAAGCACATGCATCATCATACTCAGGCACACTCACACTTGACGGCTTAATTAGATCAATATTGACAGTCTTCATCGAATGTCGACCATTAGTGTCACGAACAATTACAACAGTTGATGGAGACAAGACACTATCAACTGTCCATCCGGACTCGTACGGCGCTGTTCGCTTCTGGCGGCGATCTCCTTGCCGCAACATCACCGTGGAACCAACACTGTAGGGGTTCACACACCCAACAGGCTGAACAAAATCAGCAGAGGACAACTCACTTTCTACGTAGTCTCGCACAACAGCGGCTTTACTACACAAGCTATCAACCCATGCACTGGGGGACATGTCACAACGCTCATCGTCCACAATCAAGCCATGGGGAACCCAGCCACACATGGCTTCACTTGGGGAAACACCAAGCGCAGAGTGGGGACGAATACGATAATAGTACAATAATACATTTAAAGCAGACACCCAATCGTCGGATTCCTGCACAATCTTGCGAATTAAAGTCAGCAAAGTCCGGTTAAAACGCTCTACACCACCTTGACTTTGCGGATGACGCACTGCACCATGTCGCACCTCTACACCAAATGCATCATACAAAGACGTAACTACCTGATTGACAAATTCTGTTCCATTGTCACAACGTACAACTGCTGGGGCACCCCAGCGGGAACATACATCCACGAACGCAGCTGCTACAGACGGACCATCATGGCGAACCAATGGGACCACCTCGACCCACTTAGTAAACATATCGGTACAGACAAGAACACAATGATACCAGTGGCTTCTATTCGGGCCCAACTCCAGGGTATCGAGCTGTACTACATTCCACGGACCAGATGGAATAACCGGACGTGTTGGCTCAGCAACAGGCCCACGCTTCGAATTAGCAGCAGCACACACATCACATGACTGAATCAACGACTGACAAACAACAGCCATATTTGCAAAATAACAACTCGCACGCAACAGCTTCCATGTGGTCTCCCAACTGGAATGACCGCTCACAGCATGGGCACGACACACCACTCGCTGCTGCAATGACTGAGACACAACTGGTACAACACGCACATCATTCGGCGGTACCTTCACACTACGATACAAGTAACCATCATCAGATACAGACAACTGAGACTTCAATTTCTTAAATACCGGGTCGGAAATCTCACGACCATGACGCACAGACTCAATCACACTAACAACAACAGGATCAGACTTCTGCGCATCAAGAATGTCCTGTAAAACAATAGCACTCACAATCTTCGGGGGTGCAGAGACGGCAGCAACTACATCTGGCTTGGCTGATTTCTTCCAGCAGCGGATGAACAAATCTGGGACACGCGTCAGCTTGTCAGCCTTGTTCTGCTGGGACGGTACCCACTCAATGGTGACGGACAGCTTCGCGGTCGCGACAATGTCGTCGATGATGTTTAGTC